CAACTATATCGTCAAGGCATGTGAGTATATCAACAGTGGGATGAGATTAAAAAACTCCCTTCTATAAAACAAAGCCCAGAAGTTAACGCGGTCGCAAAAGATCTGTCTCTCAGGGATGTATTGCTGGCTGAATTCCTTACCACGAAGTATGCGCTATGGCTGGACATGCGAACCACAGATGATGACCAACTACACGGTAGTGGGAGGAGAATAGAAAATGCTAGTGAGGGTGTTATACAGAAAACGAAGATCGCTGAAACGGCTGGTAAATTAAACATATGTTTGTACATGATTATGGAAGCGCAACTTAATATACAGAATGGAAGATTCGTGCAAGGATCTGTTAATAATCTTTTACCTAAAGAACCGCACTGGGCTATCATCTGCGGGCAAACGGGTTGTGGAAAAACAGCTTTTATGCTAGATATTTAACAAAGTCATTATCAGAATGTTTTCGCCCATATTATTATTCTGTGCCCGACTATTAACGTTAATAAAACATACCTATCGAGAGATTGGGTAATGAAAGATCCCGGGGTGCACAAAGTTGATCTCGGTGATTGTTTACAAGACGAGTATGTCACGAAAAAATACAAAGGAGAATCAACCTTTTTCATAATAGACGACTGCAGTGCGAGTAAAGAACTTACCAAAAAAAAAGATATGCTTTCATATTTAGCATTCTCCGGTCGGCATATGGAGCAGAGCGTTTGGGTCCTTACTCAAAAATACAACTCTGTCCTGAAAGATCTGAGAGAGCAGACCAAATGGGTAGCCCTGTTTCATTGCAAAGACCAAGATTCATTTGAGGAATGTCTACGCGAAAATGACGCTCGAGCGAGATAAAGTCAGAAAACTGTTTGCGGAAACAAAGCACTGTAAACTCGTATTAAAAACTGACCAAACAGCTGCTTATGCAATTGCTTAGCAAATGTTAGCAAAAATATAGCAAAAGCTTGGCAAAATAAAGCAAAATATAGCAACTGCTTTGCAAAATATAGCAAAACTATAGAAAATATAGCAACTGCTTAGCAAAATATAGCAAAATATAGCAAAATATGGTAAATTGAACATTAGGGCGGTTATGTAATAATGTGGTTGGAAATCCTCATTCTTTTGCAACAGTTTTTTATTTTGGGCTGTTTTGGATATGCAATATTTCATTATGCTAGACTTAAATAACAGCTGGGATATTACATTAAAAAGATGGAATGCGACGAACTTATCGAACAACTGTTCCAAGATGAGCCAGAACCTGTAGTTACGGATCAACATAGAGAAAGACTCACGGCTTTGGTAGCTGGTGGAAAATGCTCCGAATACTTGGGGGAAAATTATACCACTGAAAGAACTGATAACATGACCGACGAAGAAATTAAAAAAGTATATGCACGCTACGAGTCTAGACTGGGAGCTACCATGACTAAAACAATAGGGTCTGCTATGGTACAAATATACACAGCTGTAGCTAGTACGTTTCTTCCAATCCCGCCAGAAAATCGCCTGTATTTATGCGAATCTCTCGAGATAGACCCATTCATCGAACACGCTTTAAGCACAGTAAACTGTGAGTTTTACCATAGATACAGTCGTGCCTCGTTTATACGGACACTTGCGTCATTTCACAATTTTCGTCCGTATAAACGAATTTCCATATAACTGAAACCAGCTTCTTACTGGAAGAGTTACTTCCCTTCAATTATGTAACTCATGACAGATGACAATGCAAACAGATACATCCACTCAATCTTTATTCAAGACATACACGTTTCAAAATATCTGTCATGGAAGTTTGAACTTTACCACATTTTGAGGTTTGAATTTTAAACAATAATTCCAAATTGTCCAGATCGCCTGTGTTCTCGTAATATGTAATCAAGGTCTCTATACAAGCACAAGCTTCCTTGTGAGTGCTTCCTCCACAGACGCCATATTTATCGAATGGGATAACATGTACAATAAACAAGCTCGTCTCAAACGTAACTCAGTGTCACTTGGTTAATTGACTTCTCACGAATAAAAGGATTACCACCAGCGGAAGTGTATTGTCCGGGTAAGTGAGACAATTTTGTGTGCATTTCAGTGTTTTGTGTATGAAAATGACCATCCGGTTCCGGAAACTGAATTTCCGTATATACGGGTAAATTTATATAGTAATTATTTTGTTTTGAATGAAAATCGTCCAGGAACCGAGGTTTCCAGATATCTGAAGTCCGTATAAGCGGGGCATGACTGTACGGAATGTTCATGGTGCCGCATATCAACGCTTTAATAACGGCTAAGTATTGTAAATTTAAACATATATGCCCAACTATTAATATAAATGGAGGCGGAATTACAACAAGTGATTGCGGAAACGCCGCAAGTAAACGAGGAAACACCACAAGTGAAGGTGAAAACACCACAAGTGAGAGTGACTAAGAATCCTCGAAAAGTTGCAGCCGGTAAAAGGGGAGCGCTAGCCAGGAAGGCAAAAGCCTGCACTGAACATTGTAAACACCCGCTTAAAACTATGAGATAGGTGTTATAGCCGATAGCAGTGGTATGGTTTTTTTTAAGACTGTAGAAGAGAAAACACCAGCAGTCAAGGTTCAACTGGAGTTAAGCCCTCATGTAATATTATAAAAGCATGACTACTCCAGTTACGGACGGTAAAATGTTGGTAAACGCAGCTTATCATTCAGCTGTGGTTAGCTGAATAGCTATCGGCTATGCATGTATAGGTAAAATGATTACTAAAGCCACACCACCCAGAAGGCATAATGAAGAAATTAAACATTGGAATATTATTAAACATAAAAATGGCATCAATTGTAATGATGGTCGGTGGAGCTATTGTTAATACTCTAGCTTTTTCGGGGAGTAATTTTTTTTTTCTACTATGAGAGAATCAAATGCTAAAGAAATTGAAGAGGAGCGGAAACGACATAAGAAAGCACTAGAACAACTCGAAACAGCCCAGTCACAATAGTCCAAAAGAAGGACCCAGAGATTAGATTATATTAATGATAAACTTTGTAAACAAAACCATTCAATTCAAACGTTTAAGGATGTTGAATCTGCCATGCACAAATACTTCCTTGTTTACGGAATGAGCCTTGATCCAATTGACAAAAGGCCAACTCAGTTTTATACACCGTCAGAGGAACAAAAATACAGAGAAATAGCATTTATGGCGTTGGTGATTGTCCACCGTGGCTATTTTTAGCTATGCTATTATGCATAAGCCATGAGCTGACAACATTCTATTAATAGCGCGGAGTCGTATCAGCTATGAGCTATTAATAGCCATGATGCCTTGGCTGGGCAGAGACTCAGCTGTAAATGATATGATAGATGTAAAACAACCATGAATCTGTGTAGATTTACATTGATGGGAAACCCATTATCTGTGGCAGACGATGTGTGAAAGATTCCAACGCTACTCCACTGGAGCTAGATTTATACCCCAATACCTATACAACAGGGGTAATTGTTTTATGCAAAACAAGCGATGCGTACCAATAATCATCATGAGACTAAGCTAAATTGTAATGAAAGGGGCTCTACCTCACCACCACCTGAACCATTTTCGAACCCTATCAATGCTTCTATGATATAGATTTTTATCGGTAAGGTGATTCTAGACCACTTCCATTGGAGCCAGATTTATAACCCTATAATACTACTACAGAGGTAATTTTTATGCAAAAACCACGATACGATTCAACGATCGTCATGAGACTAAACTAAATTGTAATGAAAATATTCTCTATTATTTTTACTCATATACATACCATTATTTTGAACAAAGTTATATTCAACATTTTTACTTCCCTTGTTAAGTTTCCACCTTTGTTATCTTATTACTCTCGTTGTTCTTTACAAGTACGTACATATGCTCTCTGCATCCTGGCATCCATTCACTTGGAGTAAGCATATACTCCACAACGTTATGTTCCTCATAATAAAGAAGTTGACATCCATATATTCTCTCTCTTATCTTCCAAGTAGCAGGACTAGTGACATTTCCTTGTGGACTACCACTTACACCATTAGGTAAATGGCCACTCTGTAGCAGGACTAATGACATTTCCTTGTGGACTACCACTTTCACCATTAGGTAGATGGCCACTCTGTAACAGGACTAGTGATATACCCTTGTGGACTACCACTTATACCATTAGATAGATTGCAACTCTGTAACAGGACTAGTGATATACCCTTGTGGACTACCACTTATACCATTAGATAGATTGTAACTCTGTAACAGGACTAGTGATATACCCTTGTGGACTACCACTTATACCATTAGATAGATTGCAACTCTGTAACAGGACTAGTGATATACCCTTGTGGACTACCACTTATACCATTAGATAGATTGCAACTCTGTAACAGGACTAGTGATATACCCTTGTGGACTACCACTTATACCATTAGATAGATTGCAACTCTGTCGCAGGACTAGTGATATACCCTTGTGGACTACCACTTATACCATTAGATAGATTGCAACTCTGTAACAGGACTAGTGATATACCCTTGTGGACTACCACTTATACCATTAGATAGATTGCAACTCTGTCGCAGGACTAGTGATATACCCTTGTGGACTACCACTTATACCATTAGATAGATTGCAACTCTGTAGCAGGACTATTGACATTTCCTTGTGGACTACCACTTAAACCATTAGATAGATTGCAACTCTGTAGCAGGACTAGTGATATACCCTTGTGGACTACCACCTATTATACCATTAGATAGATTGCAACTCTGTCGCAGGACTAGTGATATACCCTTGTGGACTACCACTTATACCATTAGATAGATTGCAACTCTGTAGCAGGACTAGTGATATTTCCTTGTGGACTACCACTTTTACCATAAGCATGATAAGGAACTCTGTAGCAGGACATTTTTAGGACAAGTGGAAATGAAAGATGCTTTCTAACCTTGATGGTTAAGTGCTGTTACTTACTGTGGCAGCTTCAAAGTTATAAATATTGAATACATACCTATTAACTCGGCCATGGCACTGAATGGCCATGTGTGACTGGTAGAGTTGGCATGAAGAAAATTTGGGCTGACCTGAAAATGACATAAAATTGATTCAGAAATCTCACACAATATATGAGTAATTGTTTCAGATGGTTCATTACATAATGAGTAAACTGGCGATTCAACATATCCAATGTGAACATGTTGAAATAAATAACAGTTAGTACTAAAAATATTATGTATAACTTTAAACTGAAACCATCTTAATTCAGAACTTTGTGTACATCTTTTTGCCATAAGGTTCAAGTTTGTCCATTCTGTATCTGTGTACTGTTTTTCAAGAAAATCTTCCCATTTACTGTAGCACTTATGTTTTATAAATGTAGGGTTGAATAGGGCTTCATAAAATACCTTTCTTCCCTTTTTATTGTTTATTTTTGATACATTATATGGCAGTATAGGTCTTTGGCAAACTTTAGCACAATGTATTATATTGTTATTCTGTAAATACCTGCTTGATAGTTTTACTCCTTGATAGGTCAAAAAGTCTGTCTTCAAACTGTATTTTTGTACAAATTCATCAAAATCATATAATTTCCCTGTCATGAATGAGTGAGTGAGTAAGGTTTAATGCCGCTTTTAACAGTATTACAGTTATATCACGGCGTGTCAGCTTAATGTGGGAGGAAAGCCCGAAGTGATGCAGGTCTTAAACGTTTACCACTTCGGTGAAACCCACGAGCACCTGTGTCATGAGTGAGTGAGTTAGGTTTTACGCCGCTTTTAGCAATATTCCAGCAATATCACGGCGGGGGACACCAGAAATGGGCTTCACACATTGTACCCATGTCGGGAATCGAACCCGGGTCTTCAGCGTGACGAGCCAACGCTTTAACCACTAGGCTACCCGACCGCCCCACCTGTGTCATGAATGAAGTCATTTATATACGCTATACCCTTTTGATGCCATTGTGGAAAATAAATAGACTTACCATCAATTTTGATTTCATTATTACACCAGACAGATTTGCTCATCATATCCTCACCAGATTGTTTAACATTATCACAACAATTCAAGTATACTGACCACCATAACGGAACTTCCTTCCAAAAGTTATTATTGATGTTTGGAATAATCTTTTCGTTAATATAGGCAGCATCAGCCAGGTAAATTACATTTAAAAAAAGAAAGCGGTCCATGCGTAATTACCATGAACCAGTCTCTTAATCCAGCTTAATTTTTGTGCGGCGATAACCATTTCCACCACTGGGACACTCATGCCGCCATATTTAGGATGTAATGACATAATTTTCCTTTTATCTTTGTCAGGTTTAGATCTCCAGATGAAGTGAAAACATTTTGACTGAAACTTTTCTATTACAATTTTGGGTGGGCTTGGTATACTGCAAAACAGGTGATTGAGTTTGGGTAACAACAATGATTTTAGAACAACATTAGTACAACAATCCATAGGTGTCAGGGTTCTCTTTTTTCACATTTTCATTTCCTTTTCTATCTTATCAAACTTGTTTGTATAGTTTAAATTGACCATATTTTCCAAATCAACATCAAAATCTATGCCTAATAACTTAAACTCAGTTTGTGACCAGTCAAAATTCCAATCCTCACATAACTTTTATCTTGATCTTTTTTTTTTACCCTATCCATATCAACTTGTTTTTTTCAGCATTTACTTTTAATCCCGAAAACTGGGCAAAACATTTTAATGTACTCATTGTGGTATAGAGGCTCTTTTCAGATCCATCTAAACTTGATGTAGTATTGTCTGCAAATTGTGCAAGCCGAGATTTAATATTACCCATCTGTATACCTTTTATTTTGTTATTATTTCTTATCATCATGTATCATTATTGCTAAGATTTCGGCACAAAGAATAAAGATATATGGTGATATCGGATCCCCCTGGCGACAACCCTTTGAAACCTTGAAAAGAGGACTAGAATATCCATTTACCAAAACACTTGATTCAATATTTTCGAAAAAGACAAAATGACACAAAATTGATTCAGAAATCTCACATGACATGTAAGACTTACAGGGCAAGTAAACTGAAAAAGAATATTGCAATTTTGTTGCATATCAATTTTCCTAGATACATTTAGTCAATTTCAAAGAAAGAGAAAATTCATAATATTTGTGGAAAGTATACAAATGTTCAAGTGAAAGTGCTGCAATTGTGTGTGTGCAGCGTTAGAAATTGGCACTAATCCTATAGTCCTTGCCAAACTGCCCAATAGTTAGGGTATCATAAGGACTAGTAGAAACTTGCCATTTTAAAGGGGTTTGCTATTTATTATCATTATAAGGACTAGTAGACTAAAACAGTTAGTTTCTACCGATGTGTATGTGCGTGTGTGACAGACTAAAACCGATTTTATAGTGCTAGCACACTGAGTTACCATGCTGCAGTTTAACATGAATACCCCACTCAAATACAGTACACTCAAACACTGTCACCATGCCGACCAGTCCCCTTGTTTTAGCCCCATAATGCTGAGTGCCAGGCAGGGTAACAACAAGTTCCATCTCTTAACGTCTCTTTGGTACCATGGGACCAGGGATAGAACCCCAGTAGTATAGTCTCAGTCCGCAGAAGGCCATTTTGGTTGAGGGAGGTTGAGGGAAAATAGGGAAGGTGATTGGCTGATCCAAGTCACGTGATCGGATAGGATGACTCATGCATCAACAGCACGTCACAGGTGAGGGGGAATGAAAGGTGTGTGTTTATAAGGCAGAAAAGAATTCATAAGAAAACAAAAGTAAAGGGTTATGAATAGAGCTATGTGTATAGCGTGCTGCCCTAAATAGACAGACCATACCCGTCAGCCCAGTTTGAATTGAGCGCACTTGACAACTCACGTGGCCTCGTCGTTTCAAATAACCCGCGCTCGCTAGAGCGTGCGACCTGGTTTGATGAATACAGGGTGTGTGTTGAAAGTACATCATACCACAATAGAGACGGGTTGTGTCAACATGATATACGCCGGGTAATGTTGGAATAAAAAATGTACATCTAGCTGGATCAAATTCATCTGGTACGGTCTACAAGTTGTACACCATGAACATTAGACAACCTGTATAGAAAAAAATATAGACAAAATAGATAAGACTACACAATCAGCAAGCTAGCAGTGTTGTTTAATTACATTTAGCGCGCAAGAACGAGATAGTCACTTCACCCTGCATTGACTATAAAGCTGAAGGCAGCCGGATTTCGAATCACCCGCGCTGCGTACTATTGTGAACCATTTGTAAAGAATTATTCAGCCCTGTCCCGACTTGCATAGTTGATGTTTCAATGCTAGCTTTTCCAATTAACGCGATGACAAATAAACCGTACGGTGGACTTGCGGCGGCGGGTGGGCTTGTAACTGTGGCGGTATGCTATGTTTATTTCTCCTGTGTCGTAACATGACATCTCTCCTTGAAAACATTTTTTCACAGTGCGGACAGGTGGCAACCCCCATGGTGATCCAATACGGTGTGCGATTAGAGGGTATGAAGCTTTCTTTTATACCCTTGACTCTGTTGACGCTTCAAGGCAGCAAGTGCCCGTTCCACCACAGCCTTCACCTCTGACACATGTTGTATTTTCACGGGTTGGGGTGTTGTCTTCGATTCCTGTTTGGTTGTCATCGTTTTCATTTTAGGTGTTACCTGTCTCTTCTTTGTCTTCAGCGTCGACTTCCTGAATGCTTGTGGTTTCTTTCTCTGTTGTGATTTTCTCAACGTAGTCTTCCTAAATATATCTCTAGGGTCAAGTCTAATCTCTGATGCTTTCTTCATGTGTGAGTATGTTAAAAAAGCAATCATATTAGTATATAGTCTTCGTCATACTACACCCGTGAAGGTCCGGGTTATAGAATCGACCTTCAGTAACCCATGCTTATCACGACTGACGGGGATCGGTTGGTCAGTCTCGCCGACTCGGATGACACGTGCCATCGGTTCCTAGTTGCACAGATCGCTGCTCATGCTGTTGATCACTGGATTGTCTGGTCCAAGCTCATTTATTGACAGACCACCATCCTAGAGCTGGAATAATGCCGAGTGTGGCGTAAAACTAAATTCACTCACTCACTGATACCAATACATATAAAAAGTAATGTCATCATTTAAATGGCGAGTTTAAACGCGTATTTTACCCTTACAAGGACGAGTGCATTCCACACACCCTTCCTGTTATCAATGTGTCACTGTTTACAGTTCGGGCGAACATAACCCTATAGACATGTGTGCGGGCGAGTTCATTCATCATTCATCTGTCATTTACGATGTTTTTATAAATATGAACTGCTAACCACGCTCATAGTCATGTTGCGTGTCGTGGTTAGAACCGTAATTGATCTATTGAAAGGTGTGATAATTTCGTGTTCGGATATAGGTACAACATCTACACGCACATACTTTCCTACATCATTCAAATGTATTAAATACCGGATACGTTTAATAGACACCAACAAAAGAAAGGTTTAATGAGGGGAATACCCATATATATATATCCTCTCTGAAATAACTCCCTTTTAAAATAACAAATGTACAACACATCTTCCCTAACATATCATAAATACGGGACACTGGTCACACAATTTATGAATGGGAAGCTTCAGGCGAGGCTGGTATGTTAACATTAATTGTAAGGCCGGGGTATGTTGACATTGTTATGGGCGGTCGGTCGCTTAGTCTCTCTGCTATACATTAGCTATGAATAAACCTGCTTCGACATATATTTCCAATAAAACATTTTCCTCTTCAAACAATTTTCCATGATAAACTCTGTTCTCTCTTCGAATTAAGGGTGAGTATTGTAAACATGAAAATGTGCTATAGATTGCTACCATCACTTTCCCAACAAACCTAGCTTTGTGCCGTCACACTGGTACATGTACTTATAAGTTTTCTATCTATTTTCAAAATAGCACGTTCTGAAGTAAAACTGCACATCATGTTACACGGTTAAAACTCAAACCGTACTGTTTATTTGTCATCGCGTTAAATGGAAAAGCTAGCATTGAAACATCAACTATGCAAGTCGGGACAGGGCTGAATAATTCTTTACAAATGGTTCACAATAGTACGCAGCGCGGGTGATTCTAAATCCGGCTGCCTTCAGCGTTATAGTCAATGCAGGGTGAAGTGACTATCTCGTTCTTGCGCGCTAAATGTAATTAAACGACACTGCTAGCTTGCTGATTGTGTAGTGTTATCTATTTTGTCTATATTTTTTTCTATACAGGTTGTCTAACGTTCATGGTGTACAACTTGTAGACCGTACCAGATGAATTTGATCCAGCTAGATGTACATTTTTTATTCCAACATTACCAGGCGTATATCATGTTGACACAACCCGTCTCTATTGTGGTATGATGTACTTTCAACACACACCCTGTATTCATCAAACCAGGTTGCACGCTCTAGCGAGCGCGGGTTATTTGAAACGACGAGGCCACGTGAGTTGTCAAGTGCGCTCAATTCAAACTGGGCTGACGGGTACGGTCTGTCTATTTAGGGCAGCACGCTTTACACATAGCTCTATTCATAACCCTTTACTTTTGTTTTCTTATGAATTCTTTTCTGCCTTATAAACACACACCTTTCATTCCCCCTCACCTGTGACGTGCTGTTGATGCATGAGTCATCCTATCCGATCACGTGACTTGGATCAGCTAATCACCTTCCCTATTTTCCCTCAACCTCCCTCAACCAAAATGGCCTTCTGCGGACTGAGACTATACTACTAACCCCAGACCCTTTGCTCTGCCATTAGACCACGGAGACGGTCCTACAATTAATGTCTGTAATATCTTTTTATGAATATAATCCTCAACACTTGAATACAATCATGAAATATTGCGATTATTAATTAACAAAGATAGCTGCATGTGTTCTAATATTTATAAAGTAAAAACAAGCCATTCAGTTGATAAGGAATATAGCTTACAGTAATGTAAAAACTTGCAAAGTGTGCTTTTCAAGAAATATTAATTTTGCAAGTGATAAACATTATCAAATTTTGATAGCATGGTTATAATCCAGGTTTGACTCGGCCGTCAGGTGACTGCGAGCACCACTTGTTTACGTTGTATGTTACAGAGCTCCAGATAAGCTGCGTATCTGCGTAAAATACGCATCAGACATGCAGAAATATGCAGTAAAATAAAGTCCAAGCGTATCAAATATGCGACGAACATTACAGATACGCTACAAAAATAAAACTTGTGCATATCATCAAAATATTGTGAAGTAACCCTGCGTATTTGATTAGCAAATCAGCAACTTATTTTGAAATTATAACCGGGCATTCCGTCAACCTTACCAAACTCCACGATGACAGTTACATCATGATCATTTGCCATCACACTTTCTAGTGGAAGTATCGTGTGGAAGTATCATGGTATTTTTTAGTCCTATAAAGCTCTCGAAACCTCACGACACCAGTTTGCTGGGACTTGATGAATAGTGTTTTTAAATATTTAACTTAAATACCCACATGTGTAAAAACTAGTGGGTAGCAGAAATTTGAATACCCAGATAGAATTACTGATACACAATGATTTTAAAATGCATGGGTAAAATACCCACAACACCAAAAGCTTATCTGGAGCTCTGATGTTATTAGTAAATTACAAGATGAAATCCTTTGTTGCAGTCTGCGTGATTTACTGTGTCTGATTCCATTAAAAATGTGCCAGGTTCATACCATTACAATGCAAACTTTATGGGTATTGTGGGTTTTTTGTAATTTGTATGTATTTCTATCTAAAATGTGTCTACCTACATATTCCACAGTTTGGTAGCTCTCAACTGGTTTTTATGGTTGGCTGCATTAAAACTATTCCCGAATAATCAACAGTCACCCAACTTGCACACATTCATAAACTGCTTGTCATAAGAGGCGAGTAAGGGGATCGGGTGGTCAAGCTCGATGACTTGGTTGATGCATGTCTTTGTATCCCCCATTGTGCAGATCAATGTTCATGATGTTAATCACTGGATTGTCAGGTCCAGACTCGATTATTTAAAGACCACTTTCATATAGCTGGAATATTGCTGAGCGAGGTGTTAAACAACAAACTAACAAACGTTCATAAACAGCAAAAAAATAACAAACATCATACACACTCTTGAAAACAGTCCCGGATAATGTGGGACATACTCTAAAAAATGTCATACACTGAAGTTAGGTGTGGTTATTTATCGCCATGCAATGTCTATTGACAGCAAAGCGTAGTAAAAAATTAACTGGCGTTTTTGTAGCGTTTGAACTGATTTTTCTACTTGACATCATTTGACACTTCGGACAGAACGAACGACACACAATATTTAGGTTTATTTCGGATGTCATCGTGAATATAACACTACAATGTCACACAGCTGTCTATCATGTCAAATACTGGTTAACAACTATTTCATTCATACACTCGAACCAACCTCTAAATTAAGAATCAAAATATTAGATTGCAGTTTCCTTCTAGCCCAATAGAAGTCGACAGACATGCATTTGTATTCGGCGCACATTAACCAAAGCCGTAATTTGGTTTAAAGGCACGCATCTGTCTTTTTTATAAATCAAGGTGAATTAACCATCAACAAACGAGGGGTGACTATTGTGCAGGACAAATATTCTCACTGAATAAAACTGACAGAGTGCTCCTAAACATCTACTAACCTTACTGAGGGGAATCCCTCCGGTGAGATTCGCCATTTTGTTTGACCCGTGCACCGTACGGGTACACACAGGTCCGAGATGGCTAAAAGTCATTAATAAGGTAGACGTTACTATTTTGTTGATACAAAAATGAGTGGAGTTAATTAGATTAGATTATTACTGACATTTAATTTTATTATTGCAATGGCTCGAAACGCAATACTCTTTTCAGTCATACATTTGAAACATTCTATTGTCCTGTCGGTTCTCAGACAAAATCAAAATAAAGGTGGCGCTGCAGGTGCTCGCGGAAGTTTTGGATTCAGGAACTCCTTCCAGCGTAATAGCGTAGGATGCGAAGTGGACGTTGCTCAAGGCAGAGGAATCGCTCAAAGAAGAAATTTAGTGTTTCACATGCTAGCAGACAAGAATATGTACAACTGAAAAAATGGATGAATAGTCTTGACAATAAGTGTAACATTGACTTAGAACCATGTGAATTTATAGGTATGATGTGGGTATATTCTACCCGACATTTTGATATAGCCTACATCAGTAGATATTGAAACTGCCTAGCTTTGAGAATTATTATTTTACACAGTTATGGCGCTTGTTTTTTGTATGAATTTGCTAAAATGTTGGTAGGGTTTGTTTCAAGAGCATTACTTATAATAAACTATTGCAGACATATTCATGTAATGTTTGTTTACACACCACCCAAGTGCTGAACTGGTTTAATTGATTTTCTTGAATTTCGTAAAATAAAGTCTTATCTTTTGTATATTCAAGGCATCAAGTTCAGATGAGGGTAGAGTTTTTTTTCGAGTGCCAAACCTTTCATGTTTTCTGAATGATACCTTGCAAATGTATTAGGGTGGTTATTGTTTTCACAAGTTTTTGAATGTTATTTGTTTACCGTTGCAAACATGTGGGGATATGGATGTCTTTGTCTTCATGGTTTACATTTGTGTTGCTGATTATAAATAAAGCCACAATATAGTGAGTCTGAAATGAAATGTAATATTCGTTGTAGATGACTCTAGTTTTATCCTGATTTCAAACAGATTAATGTCATCCACGTAAATCAACATAATCAGGAAATAACGGTCCTCAGAAGGTATTGAATGGGTGTCGTTTATTTCATGTAAAATGTCTGAAAATTACCTATACTTAATCTCTGTTCCAGAAACTGGGCGAGGACTACGGACAAACAAGGCAATTCATAAAGGGGAGATAATTGTGTCAATCCCAGAATGTGCACTTATTACACCTGACACGGTGTTCACAAGTGATATTGGACAAGTACTTAAGGAGTGAGTTGTTTTTCAGAGTTTTTAGTGTTCACATATATAATATGTTAATGTTGGGATATACCGGTACTAATAATGACGCCCAACTACACATACATGTACCATGATTGTTGGATAGTAGACAAAATAAAGGATGACCCACTTGACCCATTGTGACACAGGACATGGGACCAGTACGAACATCAGTTAGTTCTTACAAAGTTTGGGGCGGCCAGGTAGCCTAGTGGTTAAAGCGTATGCTCGTCATGCCGAAAACCCGGGTTCGATTCCCGACATGGGTACAATGTGTGAAGCCCATTTCTGGTGTCCCCCACCATGATATTGATGGAATATTGCTAAAAGCGGTGTAAAACCATACTCACTCACTCACTCACTCACTCTTACAAAGTTTGTTTATTTCTTGTTAAACGCCACACTCAGCCATATTCAAGCTACATGACAGCAGTCTGTAAATAAATGAGTCTGGACCAGACAAGCCAGTGATTAATATCATGAGCATCAATCCACACAATTGGGATCGATGACATGCGTCAACCAAGTCAGCGAGCCTAACCACCCGATCCCGTTAGTCGCCTCTAACGACAAGCATAGTCACCTTTTACGGCAAGCATGGGTTGCTGAAGACCTATTCTACCCCGGATCTTCACGGGCAAGTTCTTACAAAGAGACCTACTCCTTTTTTAGCTATTTCAGGTTTTTAATTGTCAAAATGCGTCAGTCTAATCTTATTAAACAATTTTGACAATTAGGAACAAGGTAATAAAATAGCTGTTTTCATTTGTCACAACATGCACAAATGGGCAAACAATTATTCTTATTGTTACAGTTCTTTCTGCCTAACTGTACATAGTGAGATGTGTTCCTCTACAGGTGTGTTCCACCCTTGACCCCTCAGAGAGTCCTGTCCGTGTTCCTGGTGTGGGAGGTGGAGAAAGGCGCCACCTCATTCTGGTACCCCTACATCCAGACGTTGCCACCCACGTTTAGCACACCATTGTACTTCACAAGACAAGAGTTGGCAAGGCTTCCACCAAATGTCTATCTGAAATCCAACACTGAACAGACAAGAGTTCAAGATATTTTTGAAAATATCAGGACTTTCCTGAGAAAACACTGTTCTGATTATGACATTTTTACATATGAAAAATTCCGCTGGGCGTGGTGTGTCGTGAATACCCGATCTGTGTATGTGAAGACGCTGGAGTCGCCATACCTATCAAAGACAGACAGGGAAACAAATGTGGCACTAGCTCCCTACCTTGACCTGCTAAATCATTCTGCAGAAGCCAAGGTCAGAGTCCCTTGGAATGAAAAAAATCTAAGGATTACCCAAAACAGATGAAAGATTAAGTGTAATAACTTGCCGATACATACTAAAAAAAAGGTTACAGAACCCCCAATTTGTTCGTTGATTGCCATGACAGAGTAATCAAGTGTTCCTTAACTTCTTTTGAGAGTATTATGTCATACTGCTTCATTGTTGAGAATAATTAAGGATTGACTGTTTATACAGAGATATAAATCATTTAAACGCAAACAGTGAAGACAACAGTACGAAATGAGTGACACTGTTCAGGACAGTAATGCACCACAAGCCTCTACATTCTATTATCAGCCGGGGCGGTCGGGTAGTCTAGTGGTTAAAGCCTTCGCTCGTCATGCCGAAGACCCGGGTTTGATTCCCGACATGGGTACAATGTGTGAAGCCCATTTCTGGTGTCCCCCGCCGTGATATTGCTGGAATATTGCTAAAAGCAGCGTAAAACCATACTCACTCACTCACTCACTCACTCACTATTATCAGCCAATCAGGAAACAGTAGTCTGATAGTGGGCATGGTCTTTTTTGTTTGCGGTTTATGGAACCGACCCCTTTTACCTGTCCCTCCCCGGGTACTTGCTGTAGGTCTCAAGAGTTTGGTACAAAATGTGTGATTGGAAATTGTTTTTATTGAGTCCTGTCAAAACCTATTTAGATACTTGTATACAATGATCAAATCACGCATACACTGACGTTGACTGAAGCTTTATCATTAGCAAACATGCAAAAGGAATGAGTAATAGTCTGACAGAAATGTGAACACAAGCGACGTGTAGTGTAACCATGGAGTTGTCATTAAACAATGTATCATGTGACTAACCACGGGTCCATGCAGTCCTGTGGACCCACTCTGACCCGAGTACCCGGTTACCCATCCCAGTCCTAATATCAGCCTTGGTTTGTCAGCGCCATACCTACACTACTGGGTTTCTCCAAAGTGGCAAATGGCTTTAGCCTTTGGGGACGGTCGGATAGCCTAGTGGTTAAACCGTTCGCTTGTCACGCCGAAGTTGAATATTTTCAGCTGCCAGCACTGCTTTAGCACTAAGGTCCTAAAAATAATTACCCTTCATATACAAATTATTTATTTCCTGAACAAGAGATCAGACATCATTGTCAACTTTAAAATTATTATTTGCTCCATGGCAGAGCATCCGCCCAGTGAGCGGAAGGTCCGGGGTTCGAACCCCCAGCCGTGTCATTCCAAAAGACGTTAAAGATGGTACTTGTTGTTACCCTGTCTGGGATAAAACAAGGACGGGTTGGCTCAGAGTCAGAATACTGTGTCTGAGTGTTAAACTGCGGCATGGTATCTCAGTGGCTAGCACTATGATATCGGCATTAGTCCAGACTAGTACAAGCAGCCACACTAATGGCACATCGCCATTATCGCACTAATCTTGGACACAACATTAGACCCCATTTCACCTTTAAAATTATCATTGGCTGGTGATATTGACTGCGGGATAATAGTGTACAGTCCCATTTTCGTTACTTCCTGCACTGGCCATATGCAAGTACATAATGCATTTTGAATAAGAAACGCTTCCAGTCACTTGGATCACTGAGTTGGACTTGTTTGTTTCTGAGCAACAGATTGAGGCCAGGTTGAATGGGGAAAGCGGTCGATACGAGATTGTCACCGGTGATAGCTACCAGAAATATGACCAGGTTTTTATCCACTACAACCCTCACAGTAACGATGAGCTCTTTATAGAATATGGATTTACGCTGCCAGCCAACCCCTTCAACGTCTACGAATTCACTGCAGGTAAATCAGGTGGAAGTTGGCAGAGCTTGCCCTGTGTAGTTTGCGTCTTCCGTTCACCATGCTTGTCATGAGCTGTTACAACAGAGGGGAGTAAGTGGTCACCATGCTGACATGACTGACCTGTAATGTAATGTATATATGTGGTTGCTGGGTATTCCCCACTGTAATATGTCTATATAGTTGCTGGGTATTCCCCACTGTAACATGTCTATATAGTTGCTGGGTATTCCCCACTGTAACATGTCTATATAGTTGCTGGGTATTCCCCACTGTAACATGTCTATATAGTTGCTGGGTATTCCCCACTGTAACATGACTATATGGTTGCTGGGTATTCCCCACTGTAACATGTCTATATAGTTGCTGGGTATTCCCCACTGTAACATGTCTATATAGTTGCTGGGTATTCCCCACTGTAACATGTCTATATAGTTGCTGGGTATTCCCCACTGTAACATGTCTATATAGCTGCTGGGTATTCCCCACTGTAACATGTCTATATAGTTGCTGGGTATTCCCCACTGTAACATGTCTATATAGCTGCTGGGTATTCCCCACTGTAACATGTCTACATAGTTGCTGGGTATTCCCCACTGTAACATGTCTATATAGTCGCTGGGTATTCCCCACTGTAACATGTCGACATAGTTGCTGAGTATTCCCCACTGTAACATGTCTATATAGTTGCTGGGTATTCCCCACTGTAACATGTCGACATAGTCGCTGGGTATCCCCCACTGTAACATGTCGACATAGTTGCTGGGTATTCCCCACTGTAACATGTCTATATAGTTGCTGGGTATCCCCCACTGTAACATGTCGACATAGTTGCTGGGTATTCCCCACTGTAACATGTCTATACAGTCGCTGGGTATTCCCCACTGTAACATGTCGACATAGTTGCTGGGTATTCCCCACTGTAACATGTCTATATAGTTGCTGGGTATTCCCCACTGTAACATGTCTATATAGTCGCTGAGTATTCCCCACTGTAACATGTCGACATAGTTGCTGGGTATTCCCCACTGTAACATGTCTATATAGTCGCTGGGTATCCCCCACTGTAACATGTCTATATAGTCGCTGAGTATTCCCCACTGTAACATGTCGACATAGTTGCTGGGTATTCCCCACTGTAACATGTCTATATAGTTGCTGGGTATCCCCCACTGTAACATGTCTATATAGTCGCTGGGTATCCCCCACTGTAACATGTCTATATAGCTGAAATAGCTGGCTTTATTCATTTTCTTCCCATGGTATTTCAGCAAAGAGAGACTTGAATTCTTCAAAGGGTCAGATCACATGTGAGTGACTTAAAATGTCTGTACCATTGGCTCAGATAGTATGATGCAAAGACGACACTAGTAATGTCATCTTGTTCCTCGACATTTCATTCCAGATGACCTGGAAATCCTGAGGTCTTCTGTGAGCAACTGGGACAGAAAGATGGATATCATCGCAGACATGAAACTAAAAAAGTAAGTTGATGTACTTGGGAACCAGTTATCCTTGCACACGTGTTGTTTCCACTCCTGAATAGAACAGTTGTGTCTTGTCTGCTAAATATTTCGGTCCTGGTGTCCCCGTTAATGATGTAGTGATGTGCCAATTAATGTTATTAATGATTTAATAATAGGAATGCTCCATGTTGCATCAGCCATCTTCAGCTATTTGTTGCAATCCAGTGAATATTGTAGTAGTTATTCAGTAAATGATGTTATTAGAAGCACCGTCAGCATGGTCAGACCAGGCACATTGACATGCAATATACATTATGTACACAGAATAGATAAGTAATTTATGTGATAGGAGATTTACGGGGTGCACGGGTGGCCCAGTCATCTAAGGCGCCGCGATTCGCTGTGCAGAGTTGCGTCCCCTGGACATGCCAGAAACCTATGATTGTGGGTTCGAAACCCGGTTCACCCCAATTATGTTTCTAGGTTTGTCAGCACCATACCAATGCTCATGGGTTTCACCGAAGTGGTAAACGTCGGAGACCTGCATCAGTTCGGGCTTTCCTCCCACATTAAGCTGACACGCCCTGATATAACTGGAAGAATGTTGCAAGCGGCGTTAAACCCATCTCACTCACTCACTTTGAGCATTTACATATTGAATATTTATCGCCATATATGTACCATCCAGCAAACATTTTGAAGTTTATTGTACTAATGTCTTCTGAAAATACCAACGTTTTAAAGCGTGTGACATCATATGTATTTCATGCTATGAATTATGGAAAGTTGTTCTTACAGATCAATTAATAAATATGTATATTACACTATCCATGCTATCTGTACAGTAGGCCTGTGTCCTTTCAGTCTATGTGTAAATAAAGATTCATTGAATACATCACAGTGACCTGACCTGCAGCATAGACGAGATGTCCTGGAATCTCCACACACTGCTCAGAATAACTGCCATGAGCTGTGAGGAGCTGTGAGTTGCTACTGATGTTTTGCCTTCTTTTGTCATGCTTTGAGAAAAATCTTTTCGGTCTATTTTGAGAATTTTGGACTTTGTTTAGACCAAATTGTGAGAATCATACATTTTATTTTACATATATATAGAGAGAGAGAGCATCAAAAACATGTAATTCACTATTTAGCTCACATGACTGAAAGTCATGTTGTCAGATCTGGGTAGAGAATAGGTCTTCAGCAACCCATGCTTGCCGTAAAAGGTGACTTTGCTTGTCATAAGAGGAGACTAACTGGATCAGGTGGTCAGGCTCGCTGACTTGGTTGATGCATGTCATTGTATCCCAATTGCATGGATCGATGTCAATCACTGGATTGTCTCGTCCAGACTCGATTATTTATAGACTATTGCTGAGTGGGGCGTTAAACAACAAACAAACAAACAAACAAATACAGGATGCTGCGTTACAATGGAATATTTGGACTGCAGTGTAAACCAACTACCAAAGGTTGTGCTGTTATTGAATCATTTTTTATGTATCTGTTTTGATGTAGTCAGAGATGGAGTGCTGTATATATGGGAGAAGTATCTCAAGAAAATGAAGTCAAAACCCGCAACTTTGCCAAGGTTCTTATCAAAATGGCTTTGGTCAAGAATCAGAAGTACTTGGTATGTTAAAGTTTTTAAGTTATCCTGCGTTACACATTATGCAGTCTCTATCTGTAGAACCAAAACATAGTCCCAACAGAATCTCTCGCTCAGAGGGAGAAACTTCCATAAACATATGGCCCAAACACGCCTACCACCAGGTATCACGTGACCCAAGCAAGGGCTCGATTTAGCTGTACAGTCATGCCCCGCTTATACGGACTTCAGATATCCGGAAACCTCGGTTCCCGGACAATTTTCATTCAAAACGAAATAATTACTATATAAATTTACCAGTATATACGGAAATTAAGGGTTTCCGGAACTGGATGGTTATTTTCATACACAAAACACTGAAATGCACACAAAATTGTCTCACTTACCCGGGCAATACACTTCCGCTGGTGGTAATCCTTTGATTCGTGAGAAGTCAATTAACCAAGTGACACTGAGTTACATTTGAGACGAGCTTGTTTATTGTACATGTAATCCCATTGATAAATATGGCGTCTGTGGAGGGCAGAGGTCAAAGTTGTGACTTCAAACTGTGAGCAAGCCGTAACACAGCCGGAGCAAGATTCAGACGATGACCAAGACGAGCAGCCCCTCCAACCCACTACAGTCACTCACACGTAAGCTTGTGCTTGTATAGAGACCTTGATTACATATTACAAGAACATAGGCAATCTGGACAATTTGGAATTATTGTTTAAAATTCAAACCTCAATAAGTGCAACCTATTATGATTTCCCGCCACAGAGTGTCTGTCTGCCCACTTCTCAAAGGGGACAAATTTTCTCAAAAAATATTTAAATTAGAGAAATGAAATTTTATATATACACTGAAATTACTGGTCATAATCTTAAATGAGTTTGAAAATTGGTGTCTTTACAGAGTTATGGCCCTTGCTCCATGCTTTTCAAGTTAGTGCATACTGCATGAAATGGGGACAAGTTTTCTCAGAAACTGCTGAAGTTACATGTATGAAAGTTTGCATGTTTATACATGTATAAGTCAATGGCCCTTGCTGAATGCTTTTCAAATTACAGCACAGTTTCTGCAATGGGGACAGCTTTTCTCAGAATCTACTGATGTTACATGAATGAAGCTTTGCATGCTCACCTATGAGATACTTGTTAAGACTGTTCGAATATTGGTCCCAGGAATTCTTTTTTTTTGCCGAGTTACTTCCCTTGCTACATGTTTTCAGATTTTGAACATACACAGTTACAGTCCTTGATCCATGTTATTCTACAAAGTACATAATATCTGCAATGGAGACAAGTTTTCTCAGAAACTGCTGAAGTTAGGTTATCAAAGAGATACTTGTCAAGACTGAGTTTGAGAATAGGTGCCATAAATAATTTTTTCCAGAGAAGGGGCCTTTTGTGTATATTAATTTCCCATTTAATCATGCCTATCTCTAAAAGGCTTGATAGGCCTCTTTTTATTCCCCGCCCCAACGAAGTCTGGCACTCGGCACTCTGCATTAAGGGGCTGAAACAAGGACTGGCTTGGAGTCAGTATACTGTGTTTGAGTCGGGTATTCATGTTAAACTGCAGCATGGGATCTCAGTGGGCTAGCACTATAAATCGGCATCAGTCAGGACTAGTACAAGCAGCCACACACACACATTTACATGCACAAGTGCAATATAATCTTGGACGCCACATTAAACCCCATTTCACTTCACTTCTTTGGAATGTACTTGATTCGCTCAACAAAAGAGTATCGTGTGCAGCTTGGGTAATGTGATACCTGGTGGTAGGCGTTTTTGGACGATTTGTTTATGGAAGTTTCTCTCTCGGGGTGAGAGATTCTGTTGGGACTATGTTTCGGGTCTACAGATAGAGATCGCAATATGTGTAGTGCAGGATAAGTGTTTTTTGTCAAATATAGTAGATATTGATAAGATGGAACTTATTCAAGTGCCTTAATCAGATATCTAAATAAATAAGTGATCCTCATTTAACTATCTATAGCCTGATAGAAACAGTTCTTTTGTAAGGTTTAGCATTATGATTCATATCGGTTATTTTTTAGTCATAATTCTTGGAGATGTCGTCAGATTCTGAATTGATAGCTTCACGTTTTAGCTCATACATATTGAAAAATGTCTATACGTTTTTTTAGTATGATGAAATTTAGAATAATTTTACCAGTGTAATATTAATTACAGGTGAGTGAAAGGGATACACTGTCAGAACATGAAGCTTTGGCCTTGACCTTGGTCCAGGACAAGCAACACATTCTGGAGCAGATGCTTAATGGCCTCCTGAATTGAACAACCACAGTTTGTCCCAACTTTGAAACTGATACTGATAGGAAAAAGCTTATTCATAACATTTTTACACAAAACCAAAGATATATTCAAAATGAATATGCTTTTTAATAATCATAAGCTAGGAACAATAAGGAGACTATCTATTTTCTGTAGGATTATTATGTCTGCCTTTAGAAAGTAAGTGTGTTTATTTGATGTTAGTATCTTATAATCTTTACTGTTTAACTTGTACCTCACCTTTCCTTTCTTTCTCCGGTTTGATTTAATGTGTGTTACAAACCAAAGTTCAACATTACTGTTTATACTGTATATACCATGTACATACAATATTGTATATATGCTGTGCCTCTTATGCTGCCGTTTGCAGCCTGAGTGCAGTTCAGTTCAGTCTGCGAAATTCACAATTGTCACAGGCTGGTCGTAGTTGCTCTCAGAACCATCCTCAGAATGGAAGAATCCCCAACCTTGTATTTAAAGTTTTAAGTTGTGTAGTAGATTTAGCGAGCTGAGCTCTGAACAAATTACTCCAGTTATTTCTTTGGTTCAAATCCAGAATGTTGGAAGTTGATTTAATCGACAAGTGTTGTACTTCATCCATTCCCTACACACCCGTGAAGACCCAGGTTACAACAGGTCTTCAGCAACCCATGCTTGTCGTAACAGGCGACTATGCTTGTCGTAACAGGCGACTAACGGGATCGGATGGTCAGTCTCACTGACTTTGTTGATGCATGTCATCATATCCCAATTGTGGAGATTGATGCTCATGATATAATTCTCTGGTCCAGACTCGATTATTTACAGACTGCTGGAATATTGCTGAGTGCGGTGTTTAACAACACACAGACAAACATTCCATACACTGCACAGCTTCCCTCAGTCACACAGCCATCATTCTATCCTTTGGTTCTTAGAGCTGTGAGTGTTTAGGGTTTAATAAGCTTGTTCTCTGTATATGTGTATATGGCCGCTTCTTTGAATAAAATATTTTATTACCAAATCTATGTGGTCAGGTTTTGTGCAAACGACCAACACAAGACCCTTGGTTAGTGTCATGCTCAGGCTGTTCCTTGGGTGGCATCAGATGCCATGTGTTGTTGACCAGAAAGCTTCACAGCAAATACCCCCCTGGGCCTACATTGATCCATCGCTGTAATGGCCTCTGGGCTAGACCAGTCAGTGGTTGGGACACGCAACATCCTATGACACACAGTTTGTCACCAAGCCTGATCTACTAAACCTGTCATAATGAGCAAGACTGCAGGGGACAAACTCTATACCAGAATCCCCAAGCAACTTTTTTTCCTCAGGACAACAATAATGAGTTGCTACACAGTTGCCATTGTCTAAAAGTAAAAGTGGGTGTTCACAAGGAGGTGTCACTAGTCCTTCCTGAATCTTACTGGTCTCAGGAGAGATCCCCTCTCTGCTTGTTTTGGAAGACAACCAACATATAGCTGGCCAAAATCAGAATGAACCGTTCCAGTCAATTATATTGATCAGCATCCATGTGTGTTGGGACAACTGCTTTGCCTGCTTCATGCCCCATTGCAGGCCACCCATTATTGCTTTGTTAATGCTGATATAATGGCCTGAGTGCCGTTGTATAAAGCGATCTTAGCGCTAAGGTGATCGTAACTCCCATGCCTTATCATAGACTTATGACAGTCGTAGCGCTAAGGTTGTTTTGTACAGCAGCACCGTGATCAAATCATCACTCACACAATGTATCATTCTTACAGAAACATCAAGATGTATTTACCAATTTCCACTTTTTAATATTCAAAACAAATCAATATTATGCCTCCACAATTGGTACTTGTAGCTGCTCATAGAGTACAAAACCAACGCACTGAACATCAGACACAGATTGGCTGCTTACAAGCAGGGCAGTTCAGACTGTTAGTGACATGATGCTCCAGTTAAATATTGCTTCTCAAACATGATGAACCACATACATCTTAAAAAAAGAAAGATACGTTTTTGATATGAAAATTATCAGAGACATAAAATATGCCTCTAAATCTGCTTATATGATACTCTGAAGAATTAACAATGAGTTATGGAATTTTTAAATGTTCAGAAATATGAAAGAAACCGTCACAAAATCTTGTAGTCCAGCCATGCCTGCAAGCAATGATGTACCAGTGTGAAATGTGTAATAAATATAAAAGCCTGACTATGATGCAAGCACTCTGTTTCAACATTCAGCGTCAGGCAGCATGGGTAGTACCTTGTTAGCAGCATCGTAAATACAATGTAAAAATCTAATATAAAATAACAATCTAATAATAAATTTAGATAGCACAGCTTGGCTGCCATGCAGTGTGACATGACATACACAAAGGTAACTTACAACCTCAAGCTTGGCTATTAGGAAAATATCATGTAACCATGGTAACAGAAACAGGAATAACAAGGTCCAGAACCCATATGATAAAGTGATAGCATTAGACTGATATTCACAGCATTGCCGTTGTGCAAAACAGAATCAAATTCCACGGAAAATTAGAAAAAAAAGAAAAGAAGGCATCATGATCCCTGGCCTCATCTTGCTGACCATCAACACTGGTTACACACAGACATTTTTCTAAGCAAACTAAATATAGTATATATCTGATTTGAAAACAAATTTAGCTTTTCTCACTGAAAAAACTCTGTTTCATCAATGTTATATATTACTTTTTACAAAATTATGAACATACACTTTGTGGCAATCACGAATATTCAAATTATTTTCCACTTGTTACGCACTGTAATGTGAAGAATGGATGATATCACAGACCTATATAGGTCCATGATATATATCCATCTAATAACAAGGGACAGGTATGCAAAACTCATCAGAAAAGTGTGATAACATGTAGCTTTGGCCATTTCTGTCTCAAAATCTGAATGGTTGAGACTGTATAAAATGGAATTTGTCACAAAAGAATTTTTGTTTGTGGTTTGTTGATTTTTGTGCATATTTTGTTATAAAATCTTCAAAACATCTACAAAAAATAAAGTTTACGTAAACCTTTTTCTGAACAGTCCCACAGATGAAGTATAAATATCTTTGGTTCCATAACAAATTTCCATTTACTGTTCACTATGATAAACCCCTCTCATTGTTTCCATAGTAACTACCAGTAATTCAATCCCCGGCAATCACATTTCACAGGAAAACTTACAAAACCAGCACATATATTCTTAGGATACTCTGATGAACGATGACATGCTTCTCAAAATATTCTGCATGACTATATTATGATGTAATAAACTTTGATTTTGTCAGTAAGATGAATGTATTGAACAATGCAATGAATGAACCAGCCGATACTACAATCTGACACCAACGCAAACAGTTGAATATCGTCACTTATACATATTGCACTTACCACTACAACAAATACAACACAAATTGGAGCCATCTGTATACAACTACCAATAGTACAACAGTCGACAGGTAGACTCAAAAGTCAGGGAAATGGCCACAAAATGCAGATATCGTGAATCAACAGTCCACAACATGATGAAAGCAAAGGGACACTCAGTCTTAGTTCCACTCCAGTTGGTTACCCTTGAACAGTGACCCAAGGATGAGCTTGGATTGTAATAGTAATACCAACATGTTTCTTGATCCAAGATGGTGTGGGCTGTGTTTTTGTATCTTGGTTTCAGCTACACTGTCTAGAATTAAAGTGTGAATAATAACACCATAACATCAACTGGTACAATTATATCTAAAGGTACATTCCACTAATGACACACCAACCCATCTGACATTAACATGAATACGCATGTCGCTGAAACACCCGCAGTGGTTACCTCCCCTGACTGAAAAGTGTACACTACATATTACTGATGTACTATTTAATCCCATGGTACTGTACACACCGTATATAAATAGGACTTGGGAAACATTACATGAACTGTATAAACCTCACAAAATTAAATAAGAATAAACATAATGGCACATTTTCCCCTCATTCTCGAACACCATGTTAAGAACCCATCAGAGTGGTATTATGCAGGTTGACGTCGAAGGAGTTGAGCAGTAAGTTGGGGGTATCACATCTCAATCTCTTATGACCCCACAGAGCTGTGATCAAAATCAATAGTTATTTAACACCCTACAAACAGACCAAGCTTCTACCTACAATTACCATAAAAATATTAACGTCGCCTATAATGAACACAAAATTCAGTATTTCTTCAAATGGAGATGATATATGGTCTTTCGTTGATAAGATATTATTACAGCACTTGGCCATTTTGTTTCTGTGCCAACAAGGTGAAGGTCAGTTGGAGAGGCAGATGTGGAAGCACCTCGTTGTATGAGAGCTGTAGTTGAGCTGCCCTAGTCGTGTGCTACATGTAACCTGTATGTCCATACATGGCAACACGTCCCTGAGATGGGCAGTCCCACAGCTTTGGCACAGTCACTTCTTCATCCCATCCGGGAACATAATTCTCACGTGGGGTGGGAATGGAGACCATGCACTTTACTTGTTTAGAGACACCATCTATAGCACACAATCACTTGTGGAACACAGGGCGTCATCCTCATATGAATTCCACCAATATATATATATATGTATGTATATCCATCTATCTATACATCTACACTTTCAATCAGAAGGCTAAATATCAAAGCAGCACATGGTAAAAATACCAGTTCATGAAAATTGTCAAATCCACTAAGGTGGACATCCACTTTTACACACAAATATAAGATCCACATATCCCCAGCGATTACGTTCCATGACGTTCAAGAATGCTACATAGCTTCTGTTTTCTTGTATACTGTATATACATGAACAAATGACTAGAATAAATAACGAGTTCTAACATGTACATCTGTGTATCACAAAAATTGCTTAATACCTCCTTTTGATTTTAATCTCTCAAACATTCGTTCAGAGACGACAAAACATGTAGCTAAACACAAAATAAAGTGAAAGATCCTCATCAGTGAGGCTTCCAAGCAGTCCTGGAACACTTGTCTCTTATCGCAAGTCTCACGGTAGCACATGGTTAAAACGATAGCCCCACTTCCACGAACATGAGGAATCTGGAGATGCACATTTCGCAAGTTTCACAGTAGCACATTGTAAATGAGTTAATATGATAGCCCCACTTCCACGAACACGAGGAATCTGGAGATGCACATTTCGTAAGTTTCACGGTAGCACATTGTAACAGTTAATACGATAGTCCCACTTCCGCGAACATGAGGAATCTGGTCTCAATTGACACAGACACAATGTTTTACTGGACTGTCAAAGTGATAAATAATCTTGTTGAGAGCATCACTTATTGGTACTGATATGGCAATCTCTTATGAGTCATGCCTCAAGACACTGAGGGAAGAGGAGTCGTCCTGAGAACTCTGGCATGGGATACTTGCAGGAGTATTAGACCTTACATTCTTTTTATTGGTTTATGGATCCTCCAACCTCATTAATTGAAAATTCAGGAAAAAAATCAAATCAGAATGACAAATACGTTTTATACCGTCGATGATAAAGATTGTCATGACAACAATGAAATGCCGCTGTGAGAATTTAGACTCATAGCATTTATAAGGACCCAAACCAGAACAAGATTTACCTCCAAATCAAACTTTAAAATGATTTTAAAAATCCTGTAAAATGCATACATTTTTCTTTCTTTTTTCAACCTAACATTTTACTATCAAAATCCATAAACGCCCCAAAATAGTCTTGCCTTACTAAACTCTATGAAGGAACCTGGATGGAACTTCCATTGAGCCAATATTTTGTGACTTCTAATCTGATCAGAAACAGACAGCAAAAGGGACATGGTTTGAATGGGTAGAGTAAATGGTCCTTGTGAAATGCCTGACGACAAATGCATCAGTATCCGTCTGCCTGTGTGCTGCCATATGCGTCACATATCAACTTGAGTTTTTCTATATCTGAGTACACTGACACGAGTCTGTTCCATTGCTGGAGAATCCTCCACAATCCACCCATTGCTGGAGAATCCTCCACAATCCACCCATTGCTGGAGAATCTTGCACAATCCATCCATTACTGGAGAATCTTGCAAAATCCTTCCATTGCAGAAGAATCTTGCACAATCCACCCATTACTGGAGAATCTTGCACAATCCATCCATTACTGGAGAATCTTGCACAATCCACCCATTGCTGGAGAATCTTCCACAATCCACCCATTGCTGGAGAATCTTCCACAATCCAACCCTAACTGGAGAATCTTGCACAATCCACCCATTGCTGGAGAATCTTGCACAATCCACCCATTGCTGGAGAATCTTGCACAATCCACCCATTGCTGGAGAATCTTGCACAATCCACCCATTGCTGGAGAATCTTGCACAATCCACCCATTAATGAAGAATCTTGCACAATCCACCCATTGCTGGAGAATCTCATATCAGAATGGTAGAACCTTTTCCAAGCACTGCCTGAGATGGTCGCCACAGGAGACATCATTCCTGGCCAGGGCTCTCCGAAACAGTATTGGGCATTCCAGAGAGGTGCAGGGCTGAGTGGAGTCTTGAGCTCCCATACACGTGTAGCATACCTGGCAAAACACAATTATTGTTAGTTTGGAACACATACATTCATCTTCCTGAGGCAAGGGAGTTAACAGACTATAAAAGTCCAGTTTCCACTCTTGCCGAACGAAGCTGGAATTTCGTGGCTCATGGAAGCACCACCAGTGGCTATTATGAGTTATGTCCCTTCTATGTCCCTCCTAATGACCAATCAGATTCCACCTATCATATTACTTACATTTAATTTAAACAAAACGGCAGCGCCCAGTCAAGATGATCTGATCGATAATCAAGATCTATATTATAATAAAATGGGTCCTACCCGTCAAAAATTACTTGAGCTACTTGATTGGTTTTTTTAAATATCTTTTAAAGCGGAGTTGAAGTTACACATGATTTGCAAATCCTGCAATCGACCAAAATCTGCAAGGCGGTTTACGAATCAGATTTGTTACGTGAAATTGGTTGGACTATGCATAGACTTGTTAGTCCAGCCAAATGCAACTCCAGCCTGGCCAGTTAACTCCCTTGCCTCTGGAAGATGGTTTCACATGGTATATACTGCCATAACATCCTGAGATTTGCTGTTGTGCTTGTAAGTATCCTACAGTAAGGTCTAGTGGTAGAGCGTCCATCCGGACAGCAGAAGGTCCGGGGATTTATTCCCGTTAAAAGGATGGTACTTGTTGTTACCCTGTCTGGCGCTTGGCTTTAAGGGGCTTAAACAAGGTTTGGTTTGGTTTGTTGTTTTACGCCGCACTCAGCAATATTCCAGCTATATGATGGCGGTCTGTATATAATCGAGTCTGAACCAGACAATCCAGTGATTGATATCATGAACATCGATCCACGCAATTGAGCTCGATGACATGCTTGAAACGAAGTGAGTGAGCCTGACCACCCGATCCTGTTAGTTGCCTCTTACAACAAGCATAATCCCTTTTTACAGCAAGCATGGATTGCTGAAGACTTTAACAAGGACTGGTTCGGCTCGGAGTCAGTATACTGTGTCTGAGTGGGGTATTTATGTTAAACTGTGGCATGGTATCTTAATAGGCTAGCGCTATAAATTGGCATCAGTCCAGACTAGTACAAGCAGACAGACAGACAGACAGACAGACACAGACACATAACTTTATAGGTGCAGTAATCTTGGATGGGACGTTAAACCCCATTTCACCTGACGAATGGGAAATAAATACATGAAGTGTCATCATCAGTTTACCTCTGCCAGCCTGTCATGGACGGACTCCCAGCGACGGATCTTATCCATCAGTGTGACTGCCACCATCTGTGGGTTCCGCATACATGTGGCACAGATGGGCTGCTTTGTCTGCTCATCACAGACAGGGCAGTTACTCACAGAGAAGTACTGGGAAATAGTGCCCTGACAACATAACAATAACACTCAAACAAACGCTGGCTGATACCCAGAAGGGAAGATGACTGAGGGTATGAGCATGTCAGATAAATTGGGGAGGAAATGGCAAAGATCTTAGACACAGTTCTTAGACGCAAACCACTTTGGTGAAACCCATGACTACAGGTATGGTGTTGACGAACCTAGAAACATAATCGGGAATTCGAACCCACAATAACAGGTTCCTGTCACGCCTAAGGGAAGTAACTCCACAAAGCGAAATACAGAGACTTAGACACCACACACATGTGCCCCCAAATAGGGCTGGGTTTGGTGTGAGAGTATATGTATGTAATTCATTTTAACATAAAGTTTGTCTGTTATCAAAAATGTCTTGGTGTTTCAATATTTCTACTGACCTACAAAATAGCATTTTGGGGATCAATTACAGAAAGAATGAGACACTATGAAACTGAAACCTGCTTCAAGAGGGACTATGCTCCGAGGAGTCTGTTTTCAGTCTAGATATTGGAGAGAGTGCGATGTGTGAAACTGAGACATTATCTCCAGGATTACCATTAGCGATTAGAGTGACATAAATCAGAAGTTTTGTTTGTTTGTTTGTTTAACGCCGCACTCAGCAATATTCCAACTATATGACGACGGTCTGTATAAATAATTGAGACAACGCAGTGATTGATATCATGAGCATTGATCCACGTAATTGGGATACGATGACATGCATCAACCAAGTCTGCAAGCCTGACCACCCGATCCCATTAGTCGCCTCTTACAAGAAGCACAGTCGCCTGTAATGGCAAGCATGGGTTGTTGAAGACCTATTCTAACTTGGATCTTCACAGGTAGACCACGGAAGTCGTGTTTGAAGTACTGAAATCAAATTTACTATGAGCGCCCCTTGCCTGAGCCCAGTCCCTCTACAAATGGTTGAGTGAACAGAATGTGTTCCTATTTCTGTCTCACCTTCTTCGAGTCACCGGACACAATGGCTTGCGGCACAACACGGATCACCTTCGGCATGCCCTGATACCTGCAGGAAGTGGGAACAGAAACTTTAATGCTACGCCTCATCACATGCTACTTGTATGACTACTGTTTATAACAACATCAGGAAGTCTTAACTACCAACCAACTACTACCGTACATAGCCAAATTTTTAGGACCGAGTTAATACTTTGGCTCATCTATGAAATCGGCTTATCTACGGTCATATACAAGCTCACTCACTGTTTTCGAGTTCTTCCCTGAAACAGTCATCTATTAATACCTGCTCCTTGTTATGTTTGATCAGCGTTTAGCAGTTGGAAGAACACAAAGAAATGGATATTTATTGATACCTTTGTTTTAGGGCCATTTCTTGTCCCTTTATGACCTTGTCCGTAGCATTTTGACATATGGAATATTTTTTTTGTTTAAAAACGGAGGAAATATGTTATATAGACAAATATGCAACCCTGCTCAATTATCTTCTACTGTATCAATATCAAAGGCCTCCACAACACAATGGCATACTGACCAGGCAAAGACATCGACCCCAATGAGAGAGAAGAGTCTGTGCAATGGTGGCAGGATCGCCTTGGTGATGTAGTAGGTGCCGTTGATGCGCAGTGTGGGGTCACGCAGCACCTCGCTGGGATGTCGGACCAGTTGGATTAGTGGCAGCCCAGGGCTTCCATACACAATCACGTAGGGTATCCTCTCGCCAACACGAGGCTCCGCACGGCGGTCTTGCCGCATCAGCTTTCTGCAATCAGACATGGGTTTTCACTTGATGTCAAAGCGTGAGTCATTGAAAGCCGTTCTGTGTTGAAATTAATTATGAAACACCTCTAAATATTGGTGAACTAGGTCAAGTAATACAAGCCATATTACTTCAGTGTCTCCTGTCATCACAGAAATTGTGCATAAATATGTATATATATGTTTCTTTCTCTGTCCTATGAAAACATGATTTTTCATTCCTGAGGGCTCAAAGTTTATAATAGTTAAAGTGTTGAGGGTCATGACAGTCTAAGCACAAAGATTACTAAAAGCTAAACTGCTTTCTGAAAGTAGGCCAGTGTTCCAAATAAGCACCTGCTCGAAGGCCCGTGGCAGGTAGATCTTGTGTTGGGCCTGTAGTTTCACATTTGTACGGATCCTTATGTCCTACTGTAAAATAATGGGTCGATTTATTTCTCACAAAAAGCTGCAGTTTTTTTATTTGAGGTCCTGAAGAGTGAAGTCAGGGCCGGCAGCTCCTAAAGTCCTGATGGCAGCCTGGCAATTTATTTGATTTCAAACACTTAAGTAGGCCCAGAAATCCTTCAAGTGAAGATGATATACTGGAACTAATGTAGCTATTTACGAAGGGTACACAACATGCGCCTTGCACTCACTTGGCAATCTCCAGTCCCGGTACACACGCAGTTGGTTTGTATCCCATCATGCCTCGGAACTCCTTGGCAAAGATGCAGTCCTGGATGCTGACCTTGCCCTCCATGAGTTTCTGACACTGGCGCTGGACGAAGACCTTGACCTGTGACACATCTCGGGTTGTGAACAGCAGCTTGATACAGCGTTCCAGGATCTGGATGGAAACAATTGTATATTCTGAACCATTTCACCTTTGTACTTCTTCCTACAGAACCATTCTACTTCTTGACAATAAATATTTCAGAGCAGGTTCAAAAGGAAAAGCTAGCTGTAGACACATATTCGTAGAGGCTGTTTTTAGTAGTGCACTTGAAATGCTAATTACAACATATTTTTCTATATCTGACTGACAAAAACGCGAGGGGTCATTGAATGAGTAGTAAGTAATTTATTTCAGCAAGTCAAGTGAATTGTCTTGTATGGATACAGAAAAAACGTATCGTCACATGAAAACTGACGATGCACCGGTGCTCCGATGTATCATTTCAGCCCTAATGACATGAATAATAAGGTGGACACTCCTTGGAGTGTAGACTTGGTGTGTTGCCCTGGCTCTGTCCTGCTCACCTTGGCAACCGCGGGACAGTTGTCTCGTCTGACCGTTTCAATTCCCTTGGCATCATACACTGGTTCCTTCTGGTCTACCGTCTCGTAGCTGAAGCCCACGTACCTCTTCTTGGTCTGCAGGACGCACGGCATGTACACCTGGTGGAATGGAGTCAAAGAATGGTCTTATACACCATCGTCACCAATACAACAGCTGTACATCTGGTGGGATGGAGGATGAGTGAGTTAAAGAATGGTCCCACACACCCTCGTCACCAATACAACAGCTGTACACCTGGCGGGATGGAGGGGGAGTGAGTTAAAGAATGGTCTTATACACCCTCATCACCAATACTACAGCTGTACATCTGGCGGGATGGAGGGGGAGTGAGTTAAAGAATGGTCTTAAACACCCTCGTCACCAATACAACAGCTGTACACCTGGTGGGATGGAGGGGGAGTGAGTTAAAGAATGGTCTTATACACCCTCGTCACCAATACAACAGCTGTACACCTGGTGGGATGGAGGGGGAGTGAGTTAAAGAATGATCTTATACACCCTCGTCACCAATACAACAGCTGTACATCTGGCGGGATGGAGGGGGAATGAGTTAAAGAATGGTCTTATACACCCTCGTCACCAATACAACAGCTGTACACTGGGGGGGATGGAGGGGGATTGAGTTAAAGAATGGTCTTGTACACCCTTGTCACCAATACAACAGCTGTACACCTGGCGGGATGGAGGGGGAGTGAGTTAAAGAATGATCTTATACACCCTTGTCACCAATACAACAGCTGTACATCTGGCGGGATGGAGGGGGATTGAGTTAAAGAATGGTCTTATAAACCCTCATCACCAATACAACAGCTGTACACCTGTCGGGATGGAGGGTGAGTGAGTTAAAGAATGGTCTTATATACCCTCGTCACCAATACAACAGGTGTAACCTGGCGGGATGGAGGGGGAGTGAGTTAAAGAATGGTCTTATACACCCTAGTCACCAATACAACAGCTGTACACCTGTCAGGATGGAGGGTGAGTGAGTTAAAGAATGGTCTTATAAACCCTCGTCACCAATACAACAGCTGTACACCTGGCGGGATGGAGGGGGAGTGAGTTAAAGAATGGTCTTATAAACCCTCGTCACCAATACAACAGCTGTACACCTGTCGGGATGGAGGGTGAGTGAGTTAAAGAATGGTCTTATACACCCTCATCACAAATACAACTCGATGCAGGATGCAACACGAATTGTGAGTGAGTGACGGCAGAAGAAACAACTTTTCCACGTCCACATTCCCAATCTGAGCTTCATAACACTGTTCTGGCTGACAAGAATGATAGCTTCACTCTTAAAACCAATACAAAAACTCATATCATACAAAATAAGGATTTTAGATATACCTTTTCAAACCTGAGTTTGATTGGCTTGGGGAACATGGCTGTGACAGCATCTGCAATTTCCTGGCCGATTTTAAATGCCTCGTCTTTACTTCGACCCTCCAGATGGATAAACATGCTGGAAAACCAAGGCAATAACTATTATTAGGACAGGCTTTCAGTTGATCTACATGTTTCCAAAACGATTAACCAAGGTTTTAGCCATTTTTATGTTTACTGCATTAACATCGCTGTTGGTAGACACCAAGAATGGCTTCAGATATTGATGTGGGAATAGACACAAAGTCTCTTTCATTTGTTTGTTTGTTTGTTTGTGTTAATGCTGCACTCATCATTCTTTCAGCTATATGACGATAGTCTGTAATTAATAGAGTCTGGACCAGACAATCCAGTGATCACTACAGAGTTAATCAACACCGTCTGGATGTGATGACTCACAATGATTTGGTTGGTTTGTTGTTTAACGCCCCACTCAGCAATATTCCAGCTATATGACGGTGGTCTGTAAATAATCGAGTCTGAACCAGACAGTCCAGTGATTGATATCATGAGCATCGATCCATGCAATTGGGATCAATGAGATGCATCAACCAAGTCCGCGAGCCTGACCACCCGTTTCCTTTAGTCGCTCGCCTCTTACGACAAACATGAATACAGCAAGAATGGGTTGCTGACGACCTTGATCTTCACGGGTTGACACTCAACGAAGCAAGACTGATCACCCAATCCATTTAGTCGCCTCTTACAACCTGCATAGGTTGCTGCTGACCTATCCTAACCCGTAATCCTCAGGGGGAGGTCACTTCAACAGGAGTGAGAAAATGACAGCTATCATGCCATGTAAATCAGTTGTTAATAGCATGGGCAACAATTCACGCAATAACACACAACATAACCACCCAATCCTCATTCTGAAAATGTGAGACAAGCATGAGGTGCTTGAGACAAACATGTCCCCTATCCACATGGGGATTCACATGTGCCAACACATCAGCCACTGCAGTGAAATGAGGAGGCTTCTGGGTGTACGTACCTGTCTGTGTCACCATAGACCACCTTTGCCCTCCACTGGGGCGTGTCCTCCACGAGTCGGATGGATCGCTCCAGGGTCTCCCGTGCCTTCCGCACAATACTGTCCGCGACCTGGGGGAGGACGGAGAAACACATATGGTTATTCATGTTTATCAAACACGTATTCATTATATTACCAGGTAGAGGTACATTTTGAAACATTAAATATTTTACTTATCAGTTCATACAAATAACACCAAGCCACCTTAATTTGTATATCGTCAAGAATTTCTTTCTTTTATCTCTCAATCGTTGGTATATAAAAGTATCAAAATTAGGAACAAGAGAATACTCTAAATTATCCAAATATGACTTGTTTTCACACCATGCAACATTAGCCTGCAAGATGAGTTGTCATGGCGACGCACCCACCTCTATACACGGCATCCTCCCAGAGTAGCTGGCTCCAGTGTAGCCATATGTCACATTGGCGATCAGCTTCAGGCCCAGTTGGCGGGCATTCAACAGGCGGGACAGAGTCTGAAAGCACAAACGCTGCACTCAGCAATATTCCAGCTTTATGACGACGGTCTATAAATAATCGAGTCCAGACAATCCAGTGATTGATATCATAAGCATCGTTCCATGCTATTGGGATCGATGACATGCATCAGCTAAGTCAACAAGCCTGACCACCTGATCCCGTTAGTCACCTCTTACGACAAACAGGTCGCCTTTTACGGCAAGCGTGGGTTGCTGAAGACCTATTCTACCCCGGTTCTTCACGGCCTGCTTAATCTCTGAAATGACTTGATCAGTTAAAAACATTCAAGAGCACTGCTGGTCTTTGGGGTCATTCTGCCTCTACAGCTGCCTGGAACAGCCTGGAACAGCTTTCAACAACATCAACATACAGGGTAGTGAGTGAGTGAGAGGACAATGTACAATGCCACAATCAGCAATATTCCACCTTTTATATGGCAGCCTGCAAATAATCTGCACCAGTATCATCATGACTAAAAGCAAGAGAGGATCGCTCCACTGTAATTAGTATTCTCATCACTGATTTATACCCCCAATTGTAACTCGTTTGTTTGTGTGTTGTTCAATGTCACACTCAGCAATGTTCCAGCTATACGACAGTGGTCTAAAATAATCATGTCTGGACCACACAAATCAGAGTTCAATACTGTGAGCAGGAATCCATGCCATCGAGGTATGACGACGTGCCATCAACAAAGTCACCAGACCCTCCAATCCAATCGATCGCCTCTAATGACCAGCATAGATTACTCGAAACATTTTCTAACCCAGAATCCCCTCATTGTAATTCGAAGCAGATCATGTTACTGGCTTGTCCAGAATGGTAAAAGTTTTCTCCCAAATGGGGTGTGGCAGACTGCAGTTTACCTTGTCATGCTTATAGCCCTTCATTGCCTTCTTCACCATTAGACGGGTCTTGAGAATCTCACCCACCATTCTGTAACATACAATATTGATACATACAGCATGTTTTCTTATTACAAACAATATTCTTCAAACATTCTAACTGATAATAATCTATTCAAAACCTCACCAAACAATTTGTTTTTTGTATACTGTTTATTACAATGATTCCATTACCACAGTGTCAACCAGTCTACTGTTAATGGACGGCCAACAGTGTGAGTCGGCAGGAACCACTACAGGTAATATCTCACCTGGGCAGGACTCCCTGTCTGACGTGATCCTTCAGGAACACAACACCATTAGGGGATATTGTCACGTCCTTCTCCAGTTTCTGAAAATAACAATCAGGGTGGCATGGACAGGGATGTCACAAAGTTAACAATGGCAACAGTTTATATTACTGGGTCTGGAAAGCATTATGCCAGATGACACCCTTGCAGAAGTTTTGACTCAGTGAGTGAATGACATGCTACAGTCAGATGTATTCCATCAGTATCATGATGGCCTGTAAATAAATAAGTCTGGCAATGGAACCAGTACAATACTGTATTTATGTCAGGTCGCAGTGACATCGGACAGCCAGGTCGCAGTGACATCGGTCAGTCAGGTCGCAGTGACATCAGACAGTCAGGTCGCAGTGACATCAGACAGTCAGGTCACAGTGACATCAGACAGTCAGGTCACAGTGACATCAGACAGTCAGGTCACAGTGACATACAGACAGTCAGGTCGCAGTGACACACAGACACCCAGGTCACACATGGTAACCATCCCATACCCATCACTGTCTGTATTTATAGCAAGAATGAAGTACTTGGAGTTTATTCTGGGATCCACAGAAAACAAACCAAGGTATAGAAGAGTAAAATAAGAACACAGCATTTTCACTATCCCTCGCCATGGGGCACATTAGAATTTTGTTTGTTCACATAGTAGAGAATAGAAACTATAACAAAAGAGTCAAATAAAGGCTTAAGAAGGGTCGCTTTATGTCATCAGAAAATATGATTAAATGGGAAATTGATACAGTGGTCCCTCGCTACAACGCTACCAATGGGGTCCAAATAATTGGTGGGTGTTATAGACGATGAGCCGTTTAACCGAGGCGGAGGCGGGAGAGCGTGGTCGGCCAATCTCACAATCTTCGCCTTGTCTCGCACATTGCAATGATACAAGTTGTTTACGGTTCATAGTGTAAAAAATATATCCATTATGTTTTCGCCGTTTGTTATTATTTACAAGCCTTAACTGTCACATTCAATGTGAAAATGAGAAATATTTAACGATTTCTGAGTTATGCTCCGGAAATGATTTCGGGATGCACACACACACGCACGGACAGAACCCATTTCAATATCCCCCGCCAACTTCATCAGGGCGGGGGATAAAAAGAGGCCTATCAAGCCTTAAGAAGAGATAGGCACTAATTTATGTCATCAGAAAAATGATTAAATGGGAAATTAATATACACAAAAGGACCCTTCTCTGGGAAAAATTATTTATGGCACCATTTCCTGAACTCAGTCTTGATAAGTATCTCTTAGATAAGCAAATTTCAGTAGTTTCTCAGAAAACTTGTCCCCATTGCCGACACTATGCACGTTGTTATATAAAATGAATCAAGGGCTGTAACTGTGTATCATCAAAATCTAAAAACATGTAGCAAGGAAGGTAACTCTGGAAAAGATTTTTTTTACGGGACCAATTTTCGAACTCAGTCTTCACAAGTATCTCTTACATAAGCATGCAAACTGTGGTTCATGTAATACCAGTAGTTTCTGTAAACATTTGTCCCCATTTCACACAGTATTCACTAAGCTGAAAAGCACGGAGCAAGGGCCATGACGAGTAATATCAGTGTGTAGAATTTAATTTCTCTTACTTAAATAGTTTTTCAGAAAATTCGTCCCCTTTGAGAAGTGGACAGGTGGACGGACGGAAAAACGGAAGGAAAGACTAAAAGAAGGAAGGATGAACTCCGTTCCTATTCTCCACTCCACTTGGTGGCGAGGGATAATAAAGTTTCTTTGTTGTTCCCTCACCTTCAGCTGTGCTGGTGATATTTTCAATGATGAACATCCAAATTCGAAAGGGCCCTCACTGAAAGAGAATTTTGAACATGAAAATCAAATCAACACAAAAGAGATGGTTATCAGTCCACAATTCCAGATCGTTCCAGTTTACTTTAATAATCCTCCTATGCAAGAGGCACATAACCCTGCGCCATGAATTACAGCACCTCAACAACTGTACCACTGGCATCCCAGAAGAGTAACCTGGTGTCAAGTGTCTCCACTTACTTGGCTTTAGCAAGAGTCTGGACCCTGCCGAGGCACAACCAACAGACACAACACAGTGAATTATAACACCAAAGACAACTTTGCCATCAGCATCCCAGCACAATTTGGTTTGGTTTGTTGCTAAAAGATGCACTCAGCAATATTGATGTCAAGAGCATTGATCCACGCAATTGGGATACGATGACATGCATCAACCAAGTCAGTGATCCTGACCACCCGATCTTGTTAGTCGCCTCTTACAACAAGCATAGTCGCCTGTTACGGCAAGCATGGGTTGCTGAAGACCTATTCTACCCCAGATCTTCACTGGGCTCATCTCAGCATGAAGCAGACGTGGTCTCCATTCCACAAAGATATCTTAGTGGTAAAATAATTGTCGTAATTCCCTTACTTCATCATAGACCCAAGGGGCGGTCGGGTAGCCTAGTGGTTAAAGCGTTCGCTCGTCACGCCGAAGACCCGGGTTCGATTCCCGACATGGGTACAATGTGTGAAGCCCATTTCTGGTGTCCCCCGCCGTGATATTGCTGGAATATTGCTAAAAGCGGCGTAAAATCAAACTCACTCACTCACTCATAGACCCAAACCACGTAGTGCTAAGATCATTTGTGGAACGGCCAGAGTGTGGAGTGTCCGAACTTACTGGGCTTTGGCGAGCCTCTGGACCCTGCCGAGGCAGGTGGAGAAGCAGTAGTTGTAGGCGATCATGATGGAGGGGTAGAGGGACTGGAAGTCCAGCACCAACACTGGGTGGGGGTAAAATCGAGACTCCGGCTCCAGAGTGAGTTGGATGCACTCTGGGGCTTTCTGACGTGCCCGCTGCTCCACGCTGGGGGATGCTGGGAGGAAGTTCATGGGCTTGGCCAGCCTCAGCATCATTGACTCCACACGGTACTGGAACACAAGCAACACAGGTCAAGATAGGTACGGACTCCTGGTTTCAATGTAAAATGAAATATAGAGCCAAAACAAAAAACAGGTGTTGACTCTAGTACACGCAGGAAAGAAGCAACGTTTTTCCCGCCTTTTTGCACAGAAGAGCTAAAGAGCTACATGTGCTGTTAAGGGAACAACTTGTTGTGTGTATTTGACAGTGAAGAGGACTTCTGTTGAAAATCTGAAGATTTAGTTATAGTGTGTCTGCAGCCAAAATACAGGATTTATGGCTATGATGTAATAGAGGTAGGGGATTCACAGGAATTATACTCTTTGAACTATGAACAAACCATGAACTTGTGACATCCACTCACCTGTGAACCCCTGGAGAGAACATGGTAGAACTCAATGCCAAATACACGGGCAAACTCGCTTGTCTTGCCAACCAGGTCCAGTTGGTCCATTATCTGTAGAACGCCCTTGACCTTTGTCACATAGTGTTCCACCACACGCCACCTGGTGGCAAACAGTCATCATTACAACAGAAGGTCAATGTTCTTGATGATACTATTACTTCTCCCTCCCTAACTAAACAAGTATTTCTAAGATAGCATGCAAACTTTCGTTCATATATCTTCAGCAGTTTCTGAGAAATTTCGTCCCAATTTCACACAATATTTACCAAGTTGAGAAGCATGGAGCAAGGGCCATAACTCTGTAAATAAATTAATGTACGACACCAATTTTCAAAGTCATTTGAGATCGTTACCAGTAACATCAGTGTGTAAAATTTCATTTCTCTAACTTGAATAGTTTTAGAGAAAATTTGGATGAATGGAAGGATGGATGGACAGATGGACAAACTCTGTTCCTATGTCCCCTGCCCCACTTCATGGTGGGGGATAAAAACACCAATGAATGATTGAAAATTGACAACACAGCAGTCAACAATATTCCCGCAGGCCTGTGCATAATCAAGTCTGGACCAGTATTTGAGGCATGAGCACAATGCACAATCAGCCATCGCACATGGTGACCCCTCAATCCTCAATATAATTTCAGTCATTATAATCTATTCTGAATCCCAATAGGAGTAGATAAACTAAAGCATAAAGATATAGAGCACATGACTCGTAATCATTGTGGCACCTTGACACTAGGACGATCACCAAGTGGTGTAACGTCTCCCGAGCCACTTACCGGTAGTGGTGGGCCCGGTGGTTGAACCACAGGCTGAGTGTGCGGGTCGTGTACAGGGGCACACGTCGATGCAAGATGTGGAATGCAGTGTTCTCAAAACTGTAGATGTTCAAGGTCACCTGAAAAACATTAAAATGTGACAGTGCAGAAGAAACATGAGAAATATTTGCCATTTCCTACAAACAAATGCACCATAAGTTAAAAAAGGAATAATAATTTGAGTTTTTCTGAAACAATGTTCCAGCGTTTCCAACATTTCATCTTCCTAAAGAGATCTTAGATTTAAGGAAATGTCACATCAACCGTACAGAAAAATCTTGTGACAAAAAATTGGTCTTACTTCAAACTGACAAAGAGGCTTCTTGTCTCCATATAATGTTCAAAATTGCAAGTACGGAAACCAAATTTTTTCTAATTGTTTTTAATCAGGAGAGACAAGAATTGATTGGATGAAAGAGTGCTACTACTACAATGACCCAATCATCTTGGAGCCACCTAGGTCAATGTTGCTCACCTCGTGTCGAAGCAGACGCCACAGATTGAGGACAATCCGTCCAGTGATGTTGATCTCCGAAGTGTAGTCTGAGCCCCAATCATTCCCGCCTGCCTTGGCACGGTTCCCTACCTTAGAGTCTATACAGAAAAGACTTCTTCAATACACCTGGCTATGTGCAAATACATAATAAAACAAGGGTTTATACTTTTGAACTGAAAGTCAACCAAACAAAACTGCAAGTGAGTGAGTGAGTGAGTGAGTATGGGTTTACGACACTTTTAGCAATATTCCAGCAATATCACAGAGGGGACAGCAGAAATGGGCTTCACACATTGTACCCATATCGGGAATCGAACCTGGGTGTTCTGCGTAACGAGCAAACGCTTTAACCACAAGGCTACTCGACCACCCCAAAACTGCAAGGACCCCAGAGTGCCATTGTACAAAACAACCTTAGGGCTACGACTGTCGTAAGTCCATGTTAAGGTATGGGAGTTACAATCACCTTAGCACTAAGATCGCTTTGTACAACAGCACCCAGGACTCTTAATATCCCAAACTGGCATCCACAACATAGGATCCAATATCATATGTTCCCATCCACAACATAGGATCCAATATCATATGTTCCCAAAGTCAAAATGAATGACAACATTACATGTCAGATAGTCAGGGATAAACACATATATCCCTAGTGATAAATACCTGGTGTGCGGGATATCATCGTGCAGAGGTCGGTGCCGAGATGCGTTGCCCGCTGCAGGACGAAGCCCCAGGACAACATCTGTATCTCGTAGCCCACCACAATGTCAGGGTCATATCTACAGAGAGACAACACCAGCTGCTGAAACTAGTCCTCCAATATCACCAGTTCAGTTTTCAGTTTACTGAAGTGATTTTGCAACACTGATCATTGGTTGGGAAAAGCAAACGATCATGAATGAGAATACGAAGAAAAATCGCTTCCTTTTTCTGTATCCATAACGGCATTAACTTCACAATAATAAACAAATATGAGTTCTTAGTGGATCTTTTGCTTGGTTGGTAAAAGAACCTAATCGATCATCGATGAAATCAATTAACTGGAAGTAAGTTTTAGAAAGACTCCAGCTTCACATTTGTTGCTGAAGAAGCACTTGTTACACAGGATCATGTCAAAATTTAATATAAAAATTTAAAGTGTTATAAACAAATACATCAGTTCTGACACTCACTTGTGAATTAGTTTCACAAAGCTCTCCACAAGTTCTGTTTCATTTGTGACATATTCGGTGTTGATGTCCTCTACTCCAGACTTCTTCAAAATGGAAGCCGTCTGCCTCCGAGTTCTAGCCAGTGATGCATCAGCTTCATCACTGGACCTGGAATTTCCCAGTTTGGGCTCAGGTCTGGCCCTTGATGTTGAAGGCTGAGGTTCAGGTTGAGCCCTTGATGTGGATGGCTTGGGAGAGACAGGTCGCGGTTCGGGTCGAGGCGAGTTAGGCATGTGAGCAGCACGGGCAGATGCAACATCTACAACGATAGCCCCTGTGATGTGGCGTTCTCCTTTAGCAGGAGGAACATCATTGAAGATGGAGTAGAAGATGGCCTGCATAGTATCAACTTCCGGGTCAGGGCGAAGGTCGCCACGGGTCTCTACGTGAACTTCCATACTCATGACAGTCAGGTACTGATGCTGGAATCAAACAAAGTCCATTTTAAACTCAGACACAATGTAAAGATCCGTCAAAGCCGAGCAGTCTTAGCCTTTATAAAAAAAATATTAATAAACTGCTAGGTAACAATGTAAAGGCTAGTCACATCTAGCAATCTTAGCCTTAGTTCGATGACGACGACGACGACGATTATGATAATAATACACTTATGTCAAATCCATCCACTGATGCATGCTTGTAGGTTACATTATTAACCTTATCTAAGTCTATATAAAGTTACATGGTTCCATGGTTTTCAGAACAGGTATTTTCTTTTGCAAATAATGTTTGTTTCTAATCCAATAAAAATAAAAAACAATATTTTTTAAGTGTATGACAAAAAGGTTCAATCGTTAAGGATTACACAAAAACAGCAAGGTCATCTGCTAACTTTAGGTACATTTCCTGGGGAGATATCCAGATATCCACTGTTTGTCATCAGACAGGCCTCAATCCATGTTCAACTGAACTTGGATGCACATCAAAACATTTTGTTGACAAGAACTATTACAAAACACAAAATATCTAAAAAGTATCACCATGTATAATTTCTACAAGGAATCAGAATATGCCAAATATTCCTGCTCCTGAATTGTTAAGGCAACACAGTTGAAATGAAATATTCTTCCAGAAGCTGAAAGCAATGCATTAACCTGTAACTTGCTGATACCTCACCTCATGTAAAGCTTTAGCGTCCTGGTAGTTTTGTTGTGTAAGTTTAAATCCATAGGTGTTCTTGGGAGTGGGGCCATCTATTTGGGACGTGCTACGCTTGGGTGTTGGAGTGGCCAACTGGCTCTGCAAGGAAACACAGAGTTGTCTCACCATTATAATTCCTACTTTTGTCTTGCTAAATTACGTTCCACATAATATTAGATTTCCTGTTGAAAGAACATGTATAAACTACACACATTTAGACACAATATAATTTTCATTTTGCTCCTTATGTCTGCCAAAGAATAGGATGCAGTAAGACGAGTATTCAAAGAGTGTAGTTAACATATACTTGTTTAACAATCTGAGAAAGATTTCTTTTTCATCAAATAGTCATACAATGTTAGAAATGTTAATTAATACTAATTAACAGCTTAGTTGACAGTTAGCAAATTATATCATGCATAATTGAAAGTTAAAATAAAACTAAATATTACAACATAAAAGAAAAAAAGTTTAAATCAGTTTTCAAGCTTGCATTATTGATTATCTGGTGAAGATGGTCGGTGAGACACAGGACTGGAGCAGGGTGCCATTGTATAAATAGGGAATCTCACCCGAATGCCTTTGATATAAAAAAAATCAACACGAGTTAAAAAAAGTGAAGAGACTCCGAGGTTTGATATATTTCATATCAAAAGACATGAGGGTGAGATTTTATTTACCATCCAACATCATTCTTCCAACTTTTTCAGTTTGTAGGTCTACAGTAATAAGCAGTGTCTAAGTGTAAAAAGTACTGCTAACAGCTTCAGTAGCAGAGCCATTAGTGATGTCATTTGGTTGTGACGTCATGGTAACTAATGATGTCACAATGGTCAGCAAAGCATCTCACCCTAGCAATATCTTCTGTGGGAGCCAGTTTTGGATGATAAAGTGATCTTAACGCTAAGGCAATCGTAACACCCATACCTTGACACAGACTCACAAAAGTCATAGTGCTAAGGTTGTTTTGGACAAAGGCACCCTGGTCTCTCTACTGACTCACACTTACAATCAGTGGTAGAAATAATACTATAGCAGAGATGATGCTAACAGGGATTTATTCCAGTTACTAGTGAACCAATATCACTTTAGTTGATGTCTATACACTTTATAATACCAGCATCAGGAGATTGTTCAGATGCATCCCGTCAGCCAGTCTCTTTCAGGCCTCTATCATTATGATTATTGAACAGGGCATTTAGAATTCAGTGTGACAGTCTCTTGCAGTTTACCTATTCCCTACAATAGTCCTTGGGGACAGAGATTGCCTCCGTGGTCTGGTGGTAGGGACCACCCAGAGAGCGGAAGGTCCGAGGTTTGGTCCCTGGCTGCGTCATACCAAAAGACGTTAAAAGATGGTACTTGTTGTTACCCTGTCTGGCACTCAGCATTAAGGGGCTAAAACTAGCACTGGTCGACTCAGATTCAGTAAACTGTGTCTGTGTAGGGTATTCATGTTGAACTGTGGCATGGTATCTCAGTGTGCTAGCACTATAAATCGGCATCAATCCGGACCAGTACAAGAGAGCGAGCGAGCGAGCGAGCGAGCGAGCGCACTCACGCACGCACGCACGCACGCACGCACGCACGCACGCACGCACGCACGCACGCACGCACGCACGCACGCACGCACGCACGCACGCACGCACGCACGCACGCACGCACGCGAGCGCGTCGTTATATAAGTGCAATAATCTTGGACGCGACGTTAAACCCACTTTCATCTCACCTTGGGGACAGCCTATCACCCCCAGTCAGGTTTGGGTAATGTTATCCATATGAATTCATTATTTGTGGCATCACTGACTACAATCATGCATGTACACATACATACTGTGACAACTGGGACTCAAAACCGAAATTATAGTCCGAGTTTGTGGACATTCTAAAGCGAGATCTTCCATGGGTTGACAATATACCTCAGATCAGAGAACCTTCCATTGATCAGTCTTACATATCTCAGGTTTATTCAGCAACACCTACTGAAAGACTATTGTAAATATGCTCTTTTGATAATTCTACATCAATATGTCTACTGCTTCTAGACTGAAGTACAACCAGGGCAAATATCATTTGAAGTGGGTGAAGAGAATAAGAGAACAAAGAGGAAGAGGCCTAATTCTCAGATGATTAATACAACCAATGGAACCAGTAGAGATAAATAAATACCTGAACGCCACATTAGAGACAATAAATCCTTCAAATATAAATATAGGAAATGAGAAGGGTCAGAGGTCATTGAGGATGCATCACCACATACGTGGAGGTGCAGTAGGTGCTCCTCCAACATTGTAGTAGGTGCAGAAAGAACAAGCAGAAGGTGCCCCTTCCAACACTGCAGTAGGTGCAGAAAGAACGAGCACAAGGTGCCCCTTCCAACACTGCAGTAGGTGCAGAAAGAACAAGCAGCAGGTACCCCTTCCAACACTGCAGTAGGTGCAGAAAGAACAAGCACAAGGTGCCCCTTCCAACACTGCAGTAGGTGCAGAAAGAACGAGCAGAAGGTGCCCCTTCCAACACTGCAGTAGGTGCAGAAAGAACAAGCAGCAGGTGCCCCTTCCAACACTGCAGTAGGTGCAGAAAGAACAAGCACAAGGTGCCCCTTCCAACACTGCAGTAGGTGCAGAAAGAACAAGCAGCAGGTGCGCCTCCAACACTGCAGTAGGTGCAGAAAGAACAAGCACAAGGTGCCCCTTCCAACACTGCAGTAGGTGCAGAAAGAACAAGCAGCAGGTACCCCTTCCAACACTGCAGTAGGTGCAGAAAGAACAAGCAGAAGGTGCTCCTTCCAACACTGCAGTAGGTGCAGAAAGAACAAGCACAAGGTGCCCCTTCCAACACTGCAGTAGGTGCAGAAAGAACAAGCAGCAGGTGCCCCTTCAGGACAATGGGAAGGAGGAGAAATGAATCAAAGGATGCAAATAAGTGAATTTTTGTTTTACACCACACTCAGCAATATTCTGGCCATATCACAATGGCCTGTAAATAACTGAGTCAGTCCATGCAAACCAGTGCCTGACAGCACAAGCAATGAAGCTTGTCTTTGGGACAGCTGACATATAATCATGCAGGTCCCACATTGTAATTTCCTAATCCTCATTAGTCAGCTCTGATGACAAGCATGGTAGACTAGAGAACTTTTATTTCAAATGAAGGCACCAAATTGCCAAATGCCATGGCAACCTCAATCAACCTTCAGTCTGTAGAATACATTATTGATTCATTCGTCTGGATTTTACAAGATCAAACAGTTATGTGAAAAATGTTCAAACAAACCATAATTGATCATTAGTTGATCATCAATCATTTGATTCCCAGCAATGAGAGATTCCCACCCAAATATAGTTCAAAACGTCACCACCACAGTTACAATACAGGCCCTGTGCTGATCGTGTCTCAGTGCTTGGCACTGGTAGCTGCTATGTATAAATGTACTCCACAGAGCTGAGATTAACATTCAGATTGAAATACGACACATGAATGCATTATTGAAGGAAATTCTTCACGCCTGGTACCTATCCTTAATGTGATGTCGCACTAACATCTTGCTAACATTTCAGAAAGTACTGTAAAACCCCATTAATCTGTCTGATGCCTAGTGGACTACTGTGGATAGAGCGTCTGCCCAGAGACTGCCTCCATGGTCTAGTGGACAGAGCGTCTGTCCAGAAAATGCCTGCATGGTCTAGTGGATAGAGCGTCTGCCCAGAGACTGTCTCCAAGAACGAGTGGATAGAGCGTCTGCCAAAAGACTGCCTCCATGGTCTAGTGGACAGAGCACCTGCCCAGGGACTGCCTCCATGGTCTATTGGACAGAGCATCTGTCCAGAGACTGCCCCCATGGTCTAGTGGATAGAGCGTCTGTCCAGAGACTGCCCCCATGGTCTAGTGGATAGAGCGTCTGTCCAGAGACTGCCCCCATGGTCTAGTGGATAGAGCGTCTGTCCAGCGACTGCCTCCATGGTCTAGTGGATAGAGCGTCTGTCCAGAGACTGCCCCCATGGTCTAGTGGATAGAGCGTCTGCCCAGAGACTCCCTCCATGGTCTAGTGGATAGAGCGTCTGTCCAGAGACTGCCTCCATGGTGTAGTGGATAGAGCGTCTGTCCAGAGACTGGCCCCATGGTCTAGTGGATAGAGCGTCTGTCCAGAGACTGCCCCCATGGTCTAGGGGATAGAGCGTCTGTCCAGAGACTGCCTCCATGGTCTAGTGGATAGAGCATCTGCCCAGAGACTGCCCCCATGGTCTAGTGGATAGGGCGTCTGTCTAGAGACTGCCTCCATGGTGTAGAGGATAGAGCGTCTGTCCAGAGACTGCCTCCATGGTGTAGTGAATAGAGCGTCTGTCCAGAGACTGCCCCCATGGTCTAGTGGATAGAGTGTCTGTCCAGAGACTGCCTCCATGGTCTAGTGGATAGAGCGTCTGTCCAGAGACTGCCCCCATGGTCTAGTGGATAGAGCGTCTGTCCAGAGACTGCCCCCATGGTCTAGTGGATAGAGCGTCTGTCCAGAGACTGCCCCCATGGTCTAGTGGATAGAGTGTCTGTCCAGAGACTGCCCCCATGGTCTAGTGGATAGAGTGTCTGTCCAGAGACTGCCCCCATGGTCTAGTGGATAGAGCGTCTGTCCAGAGACTGCCTCCATGGTCTAGTGGATAGAGCGTCTGTCCAGGGACTGCCCCCATGGTCTAGTGGATAAAGTGTCTGTCAAGAGACTGCCCCCATGGTCTAGTGGATAGAGCGTCTGCCCAGAGACTGCCCCCATTGTCTAGTGGATAGAGTGTCTGTCCAGAGACTGCCCCCATGGTCTAGTGGATAGAGCGTCTGTCCAGAGACTGCCTCCATGGTCTAGTGGATAGAGTGTCTGTCCAGAGACTGCCCCCATGGTCTAGTGGATAGAGCGTCTGTCCAGGGACTGCCTCCATGGTCTATTGGACAGAGCATCTGTCCAGAGACTGCCCCCATGGTCTAGTGGATAGAGTGTCTGTCAAGAGACTGCCCCCATGGTCTAGTGGATAGAGCGTCTGCCCAGAGACTGCCTCCATGGTCTAGTGGATAGAGCGTCTGTCCAGGGACTGCCTCCATGGTCTAGTGGATAGAGCGTCTGTCCAGAGACTGCCCCCATGGTCTAGTGGATAGAGTGTCTGTCCAGAGACTGCCCCCATGGTCTAGGGGATAGAGCGTCTGCCCAGAGACTGCCTCCATGGTCTAGTGGATAGAGCGTCTGCCCAGAGACTGCCCCCATGGTCTAGTGGATAGAGCGTCTGCCCAGAGACTGCCCCCATGGTCTAGTGGATAGAGCGTCTGTCCAGAGACTGCCTCCATGGTGTAGAGGATAGAGTGTCTGTCCAGAGACTGCCCCCATGGTCTAGTGGATAGAGCGTTTGTCCAGAGACTGCCCCCATGGTCTAGTGGATAGAGCGTCTGCCCAGAGACTCCCTCCATGGTCTAGTGGATAGAGCGTCTGCCCAGAGACTGCCCCCGTGGTCTCATCATAAGGCCACTGCCTCGCTAGAACACTTCCAACCGCATCCTACCAAAAGACATTAAAAGATTATACTTGTTTCCCTGTCCAGGGGCTAAAACAAGGTCTGGTCGGTTCAGAGTCAGAATACTGTGTCTGAGTGTAGATCCATGTTAAACTGTGACATGGTATCGCAATGGGTTTGCAATATAAGACCAGCATAGTCTGCACTACTACAAGCAGACACACATTAACGTTTTTGTATAGACTGACAAATCAGGGAAACATAGTCATAACCCACAAGTTACTTAAAGCCATTGCAACAGTACTTGTTTGAAAGGCAAGGTTTCTAGATAAACAGGTTCCAGAAAGGCAGTATGTGTTTGGAAGGCAAGGTTTCTGGATAAACAGGTTCCAGAGCAACACTACTTGTTTCATAACAAGATATAGCCATGGATGATGAAAGATAGGTGCTGGCCGTACCTAATAGCCAATGGTTATTTCAAACACTGGTATGTATGCATGTTCTGATTGCAACAGGTAGGGTATCTGTTAACTGAAGAAAAAGGGAACCAAGCGAAATTTGACAGAATTAAATTTTCCTCTCCTCCCAGCTATTGGTTCCATGTCTGACAAACTCTCCAGGTAACAAGCTATATTCTACGAACTAGATGATCGCAGAAATACTGAGTCAATGTTTCCATTCAATAAAGCTCCAACGTGTCATACAGTGTCCTCCTGCTGTTCAGCATGAGGATGACACGTGTGTGTTTTAAAGGTTATATCATGTTCATCACTTCAAAATTATAAGCCACATATCAAAGCTACAGAAGCAATGGAACACATGCATGTCATGCTCTTGGCCGAAGCAAACACTCATCCAACATGGAATAAATAGAAACTGAATAACTGCTAGCATGTGAAGCTTGCATGCAGAACTGGGTTGTTAGTATGAGCTCTCATTTAGGTGTTTCCATTCAGAGTATGTATTACATTAAATAGAACACTAAAAAATATCAATAAAAATAATTAATATTGTAAAAATTTAATGTCAAGTTATATTCAACCAATTTTAGGCATGACCATGTAAATTCATGTCAAGACAAACAGACATATATACTACTCAAAAGAAGTCGAAGAACACCCGATTCTTTCATATTACTATCGTAAATCTGTCTTGCCATGACAGCTTAACTGTAGTAAAACGAAAGAATCGGATGTTCTTAACTTCTTTTGAGTAGTATAGAGTATTTGAGCAGTATGAAACATGCCTCTCCCAACCACCCTCACCTAAAAGACTTAACCTGATCCTTGTTTTGAAGCTATACGGAAACACCTAAATGTAGCCAATGAAAGCATGGCATGCCTTGATGCAGGTACATTATCGTTGCACAAGCTGATGACATAAGCCTCAGCAACTGATTAGTAATGAATATTGAGACCTACTCTACTGGGGAACAAGCTCTACCAACCTTCAACTGCGAGGCAAGAATTGACCTGCGTAAGGACGTTTCAGTATTGGAAGAGAGTCGGCGTATGGGGCCTGGTTTCCTGGGGGTCACAAAGGGACTACTGTCATGGCTGCTGCCGGCAACTGCTTTATCACGATTGGTCGAGATTGGAGTACATAATGGGTCAGACCAATCAATTGATGTGCGCCGTACTGGGGTGCTATGGACAGGGGGCAGGGACGACTCACCCGGATCAGTGCTCGGAGGTTTGGACGGAGTCGGATTACTTTCCTTCTGATCCCAACGTGATTTCAGCTTATCACTTCGCTTATGAGTGAGTGGACTAACTAATTCTTTAACACACGAGTCTGTTTTAACCACGTCCCCATCGGACACTGTCTTCTTCAAATGAACAATCTGTACTGGTGGTGATGAATCATGTTCGGATCTGTTCAAGTCTCTGTCCCCAACACTACAGGGTTCTTCCACACTCCTGGTGTCAGTCACACCCTCATCCACATCCTGCTGTCTGCTTGCTCCACCTTCAGGAGAAGCATCCATGTCCTGATCACACTTGTCAGAATTTTTCCCAAAAGAGAAATCTGTTTCAACCACAACGTGCACATATTCTTTTGATTCCTCATCTTCCTCAACATTCATATCATAAATATTCGTGTATTTACCACGTCTAGGATGACCTAGGTCCTCATGTGCTGCCAAGTCCTCATCCGGAACATTCAGATCCACCTCTGTGTCAGCATCATAAGCACTCATCCCTGACTGAGGTCTGCTCACACATGCTGGGTCATCCTCACCAGCTTCAGAATCACTCACATAACTAATCTGAGCAGCATCTTTCCCAGAAACAATGTCTTCAACACAAGTGCCTGTATCACGTGTATATCCTGTAACACCACCGTCTCCGGTGTCTGTACCACCGATACTACCAACGTCTCTAGTGTCTGTACCATCGACACCACCGTCTCCAGTGTCTGCACCACTGATACCACCACCGTCTCCAGTGTCTGCACCAGCAACAACACACTCAGCACCTCCTGATGGGTCACAGTCACTCACACTGGAAACATTCCTGGTACCAACAAGTGTTGACTCATCATCAGTTCGGGACTCTTCCACAGTAATCTCTGCAGCCAGTTCACTAAAATGTACATATTCCTCCATCCCCTTGTCCTCGGGTCTGCCACCATCCTCTATCCCAGTGTCTGTGACTGTCTCTGTCTTAGCGTCCGTCTTGATCCGAGCTGCCTTAGTCTCGAACCAGTGTTTTACATCCTCACCCCTGGGTGGCAGATTGCAAGGTGTGATGGCAATGTGTCTGTCCTCACTTAACATAAACTTAAATTCAGGGTCCTTATCCAATTTCTCCCACAAAGGTTCAATAGTCTGAGATGAAAACAAGTTATTGTCAGCTGCAAACACTGATCTCCAATTTTTAAGTCCTTCCGTGCCAGCAGACGTCTCAAACTCCTCCAAATCCCTCACCTACAAACACAAGGCAAACAATGTCAATGAAAATCCTGACGAACAAAACACATCTTTACGAAAATAATTCTTCACATCTGAGAATATCAAGTACCCTCCAAAATATTTTGCATCAATTATGAGATAACATTAAACTGAAACATATCAATTATTATCTCTTTTGACATCTAACCATCTTAATTATTCAGTATTTTAGTTTGAAGATGTATTATTTCATTCTAAGTCTGAAATCAAATGCACTGGAACGGCTTGTAACACATGCTCATCGACAATACATGTATTATGGGAGGAATTAATACATTACATCTGCTGACATGTTCACATGTACGTTTCACGCTGTTTGACTTCACCTGTTTATCCTACATCGTTTGTCATATCGTACAAACAATAAGAGACACTTAGGTACTGGTATAAACACTTATACTTCCTGTATAAGGCACTAGAATACATCACACACAGGCTACTATATCTTACAAGAAATGCTTATTGAGAGATAGTTTTGAAAACAATCACAAAGTAACATTTTCTTTGCAGCAAATTTTTAAAAAGTATGTAAAGCCATCACCGTGAAAACTACAAACAACAAGACAGACCATCTGTTCACTATGGTGCTACTTAAAATTGTCACGCTAGGTCTTCAAGAGAAGAGGCGGTCGGGTAGCCTAGTGGTTAAAGCGTTCGCTCATAACGCCTAAGACCTGGGTTCGATTCCCGACATGGGTACAATGTGTGAAGCCCATTTCTGGTGTCCCCCGCCGTGATATTGCTGGAATATTACTAAAAGCAACGTAAAACCATACTCACTTACTCTTCAAGAGAAACAAGTATTTTTTGTAGAATTTGGTAAAATACTCAACGGAATCTTATGAGACAGCTAACAAAACATGAAAATATTTATTCACCACTGAATCATCGGTCATTCATAAAAAAACATCATAAAAAAAATAGTTTTAGTTCAGTGTTTACTCGAACATGGTTTAAAGGGGCCTCGTCCCAATATTTTGGCTGGAACATTAACCACTTGATTCCACACCATACCCACAAAGTAGAAGATATTATTTCCCATTTTGAGACACCAAAACTATTTTGAAGCTGAAATTAGCAGTCTCAAGCCACATTCAAGCTTATCTCATCAATAATCCAGCAAGGAAGGTGTCTGCAAGGTATTATCAGGTCTGTGCATGCAAACCAGTGGTTGATAGTGTGAATACATATGCTTTGTCGAGATATAAATAACCCCAGCAACATAGGTGAGGCTTAAGGATTGATTCAAAATGTCCATCACCAAGCAGCTATTGTATACAATAAAAGACAGAATGGGATACCGGGGAATATATTCATGCCTCAAAACCACCAGGCATATAAGCCGCATTTGTTCTGAGATGAGTCCCGTTTAATTTGTTTAAATTCCTTTTCTTTAATATAAGTCATTATTATACCACCTTTCCTTGAAAACATGAAAGAATATATAAAAAACATAGAAACTCAAACTGAGAGACATTTATCAAGGGACTACTGGGAAGAATACAGGCAGGACAGGAGGAAGGAAGGAAGGAAGGAAGGAAAGAAGGAAGGTTGTGCAAACAAACAAAATATATCTCACCCTGTTTGACTGAAGCTTCAACACTGTCCCACCCAGTTCCCTACAACACAATCAAACATGCCCTACTGAACAACAGGAGCACCACAGGGTCACAACACTCAACACAAGCAAACCCACCTCGCCAGCCCAGCTAGCACTAACCTCGTCCACTGTGCTACTTAGTCAGAGTTAGTTCCTGTTAACCCTTACACTGTTGACACTTATTGACATTTTATGGAACAGTTTTGTAATGAATGAAATGTTGAATGCTTCTGCATACACTTGTATAAATATATTTGGTTCTGAAATCATTTTTGGATACAAGTTTGAATTATGTCAACAGTCTAAGGGTTAATACAGGCGATATATAATCCATGGGTTTGAAACTGCATGTTGTGATACAGGAGTTGTGATACAAACGCTTTTGACCTGATGTTTTGAATATAATTATGTTCTCTTCCTATTAAATGAATGTACTGTCACAGAACAAAATTGTCTCAGGACTTTTCACTTGAAAAACTACTTCCTGAGTCCTACATGCTCTCACGTTGATGTGGATCAGTATGTTTTCTGAATTAACGTATTAAAAATTAAGTACTGTTTACATCTGAACAAATCCCACAGCCATGGCAAGAAAGCCTGTTTTGAAAAGATGTTTAATTAACTATTTCTAAGCACCTCCATCAGGGAACTCAGGAACTGAAGCTTGAAGAACTCAAACAAAAAGGCCTTCTGGGACCACTGATCATTTAATTTTCAACTTGGGAATATTTATACATACTGACTTCGTTCCAAGCATATATTTTTTAGATTGATTAATGAAATGAATTGAAATACAGAAAATCTGGCAAAATGAATAACAAATAAATCCCCAAACTGTAGCATATAAAAAAGGGAAGTATGGACAGCCTACAGAATAACAAAACTAAACATTATGATATATATATACCACATTTAACAGCAGCTCCAAGTCATTTCCAGGTGATAACTATTCATATGTCTAAAAGTTTGAGCAGAGGTGGGGCACGGATGTTACGGTCATCTAAGATGCCACAATTCACTGTGCTATGTTGCATCCCTTGGGCACCCCAGAAACCAACGATTGTGGGTTCGAATCCCGGTTCTTCCCGATTATGTGTTTAGGTTTGTAAGCACAATATCCATACTCGTGGGTTTCACCAAAGTGGTAAATGTCTAAGACCTGCATCACTTCGGACTTTCCTCCCACATTAAGCTGACATGCCATGATATAACTGGAATACTGTTCAAAGCGGCATTAAATGCAACTAAAACTCAAAATACACTAATCTTTTCTCCAACAAAGTAGGTTCTACTCTTGTGAACTAAAGACGAACAACTTAATGACATGTTAGATGAAAATACAGTGAAGATGCAAAAGCTAAATGATGGAACAAAATATGCTCATCAATTCATGAACTAAAACATGATGTCTCATGCAGGGGCAAATCATGACACACCAACATGAAAACTATAGCCAGGTCATGGAGCATGCCTTGAGTGGAAAGATGGTCCTTCAAATGATGGGAGCTAGACCTTTCTTACCGAGTCCCGTTATTTCACTTGAAATGATATTACGGAAGCAAAATCCTGATGAGCGTTACCTGACCATGTACTTATTTCCCATGTGGTGCCTTCTTAAAACAAACTTCAAAGTAATATACATATATTCCCAGGTTCTCTCACACCAATAAAGCGTCCCCAAATGAAAATCTGTTTTTAGACAGTTCAAAATCAACATTCTGACCATAATAGGCACCTGTTTTGCCATCCACAAATTCTTGATGTCAATACGAGAGAACAATTTGTTTTCATATTTATTGGACTGATTTGTGTTTAAACATTTACAATTTCAAGCTCTGATGATAATGTTTGTGACAAACTTAAGTTGTAGTCATTAATTAATTTAACCTTCTCAAACACATATTTCTTTCATCTTACACCTGTCATTCACTAAACAACATCTCACCTGGGTTTATCGGGCAAGTCATCAGGGTTGCTGCAGTAGGCGTTTTGGGCAGTGTGGCTGTACAACCCATACATATGAGCCGACACCGAGACTAGATCCCTCGTAGGGGGATATGTCTGTGGTCTCAGCACCACAGAGCCGAAGTATACCTCTGGGCTAGGCAGACTTCCTCCACTGCTGCCACCACTTGAACCCTGGGAATGTCCAGTCGAGTCTCGTGCAGAGTAGCCTCCCCTGCCACCGTTCTTGTTCTTTTTGGGTTTGTCCTCTGGTGGATCGGAATGACATGCTTGCTTCCTTGGTCTCTTCCTTGTGGCATCTGTTGGTTCATCGTCTTCATCCGATGATATGTCTTCGTACTGGGACGTCTTTATAACCACAGGGCAATCCATGTCATAATGTTCTGGGAGGGTGCTTGCATTTATAGCATTCTCTCTTGGAGTCAGTAAGTTTCTGACACTCAATTTCAATTCACTATACTTTGGATTAGAAGCACCTTTATCTGCACCTTTTGCCTTGGAACTACTTGACACTGACCAGTTTTCTTTCTTTGAATCGGTTGAATTATTCGTGTCTGAATTTCGGGATTGGTTTGAGGAAGAGTCATGTGAGAGGCTTGCAAGTTCATTTGAGCAAGCCTGTGAATTAGCAGGGCTATTTGTAACAGAACTGTAAGGTCGAAATGATACAGAACTCTCACATTTGGATTTATTAACACTTTTGAAAGACAGTTTATCAGATGATATAGAATTTTGTCCACTGAGTTTATCTGGAACACTGGCATCTCGACTTTTGTCTGACCTCCAGGAATGCTGGGAGTCGGCCATACAGTCGCTAAGGGTACAGTCGGACACCCGGGGGGATCGGTGAGGGGTGAGGCAGGGAGGAGGGGTCCTCCCACTGTCATGGACAATACTGGCATCAGAGCTGGATCCTGACGGCCTGCGGTACCGGGCGCTGCAGATTGGGGAACCAAGGTTGGGAGGTGAGGAGCAGCTAACCTTCTTCTGCTTCAGATCTCTGGTCAACTTGTTTATTTCTGATAATGACAAAGGTTTCAGTAGAACCACAGCCGTCTTCAAATTATGTGAACATGTTGCTTGTTTTGAGGTTACTTCACTTTCTGAACTTGCCACATCAGATGAAGATGCTGTTCTGGTCTCAATGAAGTCAGCAATTTTGGCATCCACTTGATCTGGTTGTTGGTCGTTTTCCAAGTCAGAAGCCTTGGTATCGACTACATTTGAGGCCTTAGTCTCACCTTCAACTGGTGTCTTAGTCTCGACCAAGTCTGGCAACGAGTCGGATTCAGTACCCACTAAGACTGACGCTTCAGGGGACCTTGTCTCCTTATTGTTCTCAACACTTGACAAGGGTGTTTCATATATGGAGTCCATGGACACATGAGCAGAGGCTCCTGAGGTAGATGCAATGGCTGACGTGGATGGAACACAATTACCAGTTGGAGCGTGTTTCTCCGTCTGGCTGGTGTTATCAGAAGTAGACTTTGGTTTGTCATGGACTTTGAGTAGCATATCTTTGTCCCCATCCTCCGGTGAGAGAGGGATGGGAGGAGATGTCTCTCCTTTATCCGACTGAGGTGGCGACACGAGAGCCAGCTTGTACATCACATCTTCATACTTTGTCTTGTAATCATCTGTGCCATCAGCATAGGAGATTGTATCTGTCAGATTGGCCAGCGTGGCTTGGTGCAATACTGACAGGCTGTTCATCAACTTGCAACTACCACCATTAGACTTTTTCCTCCTGTGCCTTGTAGACAGAAATGCAACCCCAAGACGCTGATTAGGAGTCAAACTCTTTCTCTTTCCTTTCTTATCTTGAACATATGTCAGCTTTGATGAACGGTAAGGTGATTTTGCCTTCTGTTTTTTGTGGTGAGGTTTGATAGTCACTTGAAGATTTGGCCGAAAAAGAACCTCGCCACAGGAATCACTAGAGCTACTGTCATGCACAGCTTGTCGTGGAAGAGAATGATTGTAGGGTTGTCCTGGGCTGTAGCCTGGCAAGTAATGACCACTGATCTGATTCTTGCGATAAGACTCAACTGCACTGGAATCCAGATAGCTTGGCTTCGGAGATCGATACACAGCTTCTGTTGGAAATCCCTGATGCTGAACGTGATACACCGTGTGCTCTGTGTGAATATCGTTCACGGGATAATATTTGTCAGGATAGGTCTCAGTGATAGCTGTATTCATTTTGCTTGTTGTTGTATCCTGTTTGTTAGGAAAGGAATGTTGATCTTTGTGAGTGTGCTTGTCAAGTGATGGAGGTGCGACACCAACTTCGGGGGGCAAAACAGTGGAGGTAGACAACGCATCAACATCAGCAGTTTTGTCAACACAGTCCTGTACAGTTTCTTTCCCACTACCCTTTTGTTTAGAGGCAGATTGTTTCGGACATACCACAGGTGTTGATGATTCTTCATTATTTAGTGATGTCGATTCTTCAAGCCATGTTTCTAAGGGTCTGCTCACACTAGGGTAGTCAGCTAAACATATTTCTGTGCAGTTATCACTGTCAGGTTTTCTCTGATTTGACCGAAACTTTCCCGTTCTCTCATCCAGCACAAAGGCAGGTGTTGATGCCCTTGAGGACTGGAACTCGGCAGGTACATCCGACTGCTCGCTCTCTGACGACTTACAGTTGATGATTCTGCTCTCCATCAAGTACTCTGATATCGTGGAAGTTGACTCTGCCGAAGATGGCCGAATCAGGTTACGATGAACAGCTCTATCAAACAGACGTTTCTCTTCTAGATGAAAGGCAAAATAGTCATGGACATTTATTGATTGGCCTTCTAATCTGGGGCGTTTTAGTTTCACCTGCATAGATCTGGATCCTCTAAATCTCCCCACTACAATATAATGAACACCAAGGATCATATTCTTGAAAGCATCATCATGTTTATGTCTTCTTTGTGCCTTTCTGGTTTTTCTATTATCATCACCTTCATCAAACATATGTTTGAAAGCCTGCGGCGAGTAGTTGACCGATGGTCGCTTGCTCCTGTATCCAGAACTACTCGAATCATTTCCATCTGAATGCTTCCTCTTCTTCAGCTTTTTGGACCGACCAACAGCGCCATCACTGCTGTCCGAGGATTCCTTTCTGGAGCTGGCTCGAGAGGATGCTCTGGAGTGAGGTATGGAGAAGATTGACTCGGCCTCACTGGAGTGGTCCTTGTCACTGTAGAAGCCACTGGCTATTGTTGTCTTGGCAACTGCACTACATTCAGGAAGAGGTGCTGCTGTATCTGGCATCACCCTTCTGACAAGAGCTTCAGGCTTCCTGTTCTTGTCAACACCAGGAGGAGCCACTCTTGCGTGTCCTTTGTCCTCCTGATCAGACTCTGTTAACATTAAAGGTGGCGTGTGCAGAGGACGTAGTTGGTCAGGCATGTCCACCGGCACAGTCTTCACAGATGATTGGACAACCAGAGGGTCTTCTAAGGAGGAGAAATCCACTGGAAAGTGCCTAGTACTGTCCAAGTAGGAGGAGGAGTTGTGAGTTGACCGCTTAATTTCCAGCCTTTCCTCAGTTGAATCAGTCTCCAAGTAAACTTCGAAAGGTAGTGGTATTGTTTGAGATGAACAATCAGTCCCTCTTGTGTTTCCTTCTTTGGCTAACCTTCTATCTACTGTTCCACATATATTCAACAGCTGATCCTTTTTCTCAGATTCAATAACAGCCACTTTCTTAGCAGTTTTTGACAATCCTACTGATACGTGTTTAGTGCCAACAGTATCAGGTATATTATCCTTCACAGCCTTCTTTACAAAAGAAACAGATTTTACTGCTTTTTCTTTTACATTGTTTTTTTCAACACAGACAATAGGCTTTGGACTTTTTTGATGTTTTTCACTCCCTTTTTCTTTGTCTGACACACCAACATCCATATCTTCAAAATCTTTTGCAGGTTCCACATGCAAGGGAATATCTTGAGAAAAACTGACTCTGTTACTTTTGTTTGTAAGTTCACAAATAGGAATCTTGTTGCTAGGTGTTCTGTCCTGCTTCTGTGCTGACAGTGTTTCTTGTTCAAGGACATCTTCACTCATTGCACTGTCACTAGATATTCTGTCATTGTTCTGTTCTAAGAGTGTCTCTTGCTCCAGGACATCCTTACTCATGTCACTGGATGTGTGCTGGTTCTGACCCGAGAGTGTCTCTTGTTCAAGGACATCTTCACTCATCACATTGTCACTGGATGTTCTGTCAATGTTCTGCCCCGAGGGCATCTCTTGCCCCAGGACATCTTTACTCATGTCACTAGATGTGTGCTGGTTCTGCCCCGAGGGCATCTCTTGCTCAAGGACACTTTTACTCATGTCACTAGATGTGTGCTGGTTCTGCCCCAAGAGTCTCTCTTGCTCCACATCATCTTCCTGTGCTTCTGTGGCAGAAGGTGTCCTGTTCAAGGTCTCTACTGAGAGTCTCTCCTTCTCCAGGCCATGTCCATTTGCTTCATCAGGTGATGGTATTCTGTCACAATTCTGACCTGAGAGTGTCTCTTGTTCCAGAACATTTTCATTCACTTCAATGTCAACTGGTTTTCCATTCCGGCTCTGCACAGAAAGAATCTCTCTATCCAGACCATTCTTATTGATTTCTGCTTCACTGTCACAATTCTTCACTGAATGTATTTCTCTCTCCAGAACATTTTCAAGTCTACTAGGCTGCTGAACAATTTCTAAGTTCGGCTTAAACTGACAAAGCTTTTCTCTTAAAAGTTTCATTTTGATGCTGTCATCACAGCTCTTAGGAGGTAAGACTTCAGGCAGTTGTGTGTGAAATGACTCCATGGCCGAAAACCGTCGTTTGTCCCTGTTCTTCCCTTTAGCAGGACTCTTGTGAAAGATGTCCCCGAACTGACTCAGGACAGGCACCCTCTCCTCAGGTTTCTTAGAGTACATGGGGTGAACTGGCTTCACAGTCGGCATGGTTGATAATACTTTGGCTGGTACATGGTCAGCTGAACTGCCCTGGTATTCACAAGAAAAACCATCAGACACTGGTGGACACAAGGGAGGTTTTGACAACTTCTCAATGTCTTTTGCGGTTAACTTTGGGATCCGAACAACCTCCCTACCAATTTTCAGCAAACTGTATCGCCTGGCATCCATTGGGTGCATTCTGACTATTTTCACCTCACTGCTATGAGATAAGGATGTGTGCCTGATCTTCAGTCTCTTAAACACAGGTGTTGGCACATGGAAAGCATAAGTATATGCTGCATTGGGCAGCAACACTTCTTGCCTTTCAGGAGTAACCAACAGCTTCTTCTTCGGTGGTCGTCCTCGTTTCTTTTGACCAGGAGCACTTTGAACAATACTTGTGTTAACAACTCTATGATGCGGAATCATATTACCATTTTGACCCCATGGGTAATATGAAGGTGCCACACCTATTGATTTATTCATATTACAGTTGTAGTAATAATCCTGGCCCCAGCTGTAACCTTCTCGCGAATTAGTCACGCGGGTGTCAGAATTGGTTCTCTTCAAGGACAACTTAGATCTTGAGCGGAAATTTGTAAAGTTAGTGTCTGACACACTTGACACCAAATTGATCAATCCTGTCAGAGATGATGGGCAGCTCTCCCGCCTACCATCAACTCTCACAGGGGAAGGCAAATCTAGATTTGTCAGGTATGGGATTCCAGGCAATTCCGGACCTAACATTGAGTTTTGAGAACATTGTCCATCTCCACCCGAGTCGTACCCGCTGGGCATGAAGTCATCACAGCCAGTCATGTCAATCATTGACTCATTGGCAGACTCATTGCTTTCATCCACAGACAAGGAAGGGGTGGAACCACCCAGTAAGGTCTGAGGAGATGCCCCAAACAGATCATCTTGACTATTGTCTCTGGAGGGTTGTCTTTGAACAGATGTTGAGCAATCACTTGAGGTAAGTTCCACTGATGTCATGTTGGGTAAGGCATTGATGTTGGATGATGTCTTTTCTATCAACTTTTCAAAACTACTGTCGTCTAATCTATGGTCATTGGTTGAGCTGAGACGTGTGAGAGAAAGCTCACTTTCACTACTGTTGGAAGCGAGTGAAGCAGATGAATGTATAGAGGATCTGCTCAAGCTTCTGTTCATGCTGGAGTCCTGAGTTGATGGTGCAGGTGAATTCAGCATCTCCTGGAACGATGTTGTTGCCTCTCTTGAAATAGTTGGGAAAACAGGCTGGTTGGAGCTCGTGGGCTCTGGATTAAACGTATGACCAGCCATTGATGTGTGCTGCATGGGATGTGGCAATATGTGTGGCGGCATGAGAGGTGATGTGTGTTGACCTGTGAGTGTGGATGAAGCGTGTTGAGATGAAGAGGTCAATCGAGGAGACTGTTGAGTTGAATGAGACAAGGGGTGCTGAGACAACTGTGGTGATGAATGCTGAGCATGTGATAAACCTGATGTGATATTTGGTATATAGTTTGGTGAGACTTGCTCGGGGTGGCCCATGAAGTTTGTGGGTGACCGTGTTGAGAAGGAAGGCTGTTGTTCGTGGAAGCCCTCCTGGCTGCCATAGTGTTGCTGGTATTGGTTGAAGTTGTAGCTGCCACTGTAGTTCCTTTCTGATGCGTGAGCAGGCCCACTGTACCCAAGGTTCATGTCGTCCATGTGTTGTGGATAGCCCTGATATGGTTGATGGCCTTGAGATATCATCTGTTGCTGCTGCTGTTGCTGTTGCTGCTGTTGCTGCCATACAGTATGTTCCCAGTTACGTTTTGAGGTCCCATCCAGCTCTCTAATCCTATAGCTCGAGTCCCAAGGGCGAGCATATTCTCGATTCAGTTGAGAATATTGTTCTCCCCCAGGAGAAAATGGAGGTTGTTGTTGTCCCATCCTGTTCTCACTGTAGCCTGTAGGTGGGTTGTATACGCTGTTGTCGTAGTTGCCTCGGACACCATCTCTGTACTGTTGGTAACCTTGGTTACTCTGCATGGTCATCGGCAAGTGTGATGTGACCTGACCCCTCACACCCAGCCTCTTCCTCTGGGCCACTGGTGCATCTGGAAGTAAATGATTCAGCAATAAGCTACTGACAGGAACTGTATGCTATCAAGGACACATGTATGCAATCAAAGACATTTCTGAGTAATCAAGGACTTGTGTGTCATAAAAAAACATATGTATGTAATCAAATACTTGTGTTTATCATATAATGGGTAGGTTTCTCGTCAGGATAAAGCCAACGGATAAAAACGATATCCTTTGGGGTCATATGCGGATAGAGATGCAAATATCAAAGGTCAAGTAGGGACTACTTTCAGTGTTTATAAACAAACATGGCGTCGCCCTTGTCATTCGGCGATTTGAGAAAGGGCAGCTACTCTAGCGGACAGACCGATGAATTGCCGCGAAAGGCAAGTAAAAACAATTGTTGTTTTGTGTATATGTTGCTTCGCCACTGTATAAGAAACAGATTTTAGTTGGAACTATATTGGCTACTGTCACTGTCCGACTGACACATCACTTACCCTGTGACGTAATAAATATTAATGCGCGCATTCCAGGAGAACTCGCAATGTTTAGGTAATGTTTGTGAGTGAGGGGAAGCGATTTTCAAGCACAGAATTGAAGAATGACATTATATGATAAAGAGGTTATCACGCTTGTGTGTTTAGGGATGGTAAATATCCTGTAGGCTCGCTAAATACAATGTTTATTCCTAATGCAGGATATTTACCATCCCCAAACACACTTGCATGATAACCTCCATGTATGTATTTTTTGGCGTAAAAATATCATTTATACTTATCCTGATCATATTATTACTTATCTCCATCCATTTCTGAAAGGTAGTGGAAACTTCCTGAAATGTGTTCCCGGAAAACAAAAAAGCAGCTCACCCGAATGCACCCGTGGCCTGCGCATGCTCACTGGAAACAGGTGTCCAAGCCGGTGTACTCTCTCATTTCCCTTACCTAACGGCCGAAACACAGAGGAAGAGCACTAGGTGGGCACTTTAGTGTATGAGTCAGAATAAGTATAAATGATATTTTTACTCTAAAAAATACATATTTTATCTTATCCTGACTCATGCTAATTGCTTGAATCCCACAGTAGGTGGTGGGTTCCACCTGTGTGTGTGATTTAAATCAAGATCTGTTAAATTAACCCCTTGAGAACTTGATAATCGTCTTTATATCAACCTTCATATCAACCTCCTTCTTGTGAAAGAGAGGAATATATCTTATAGATTTGATGGATTTAGTGAAGTTGGCTAAGGAAAATAATTTTTCCCACTTACTTTAAATGATTATTGTGCTAAGAAAAGGTCACAAACTTAACACAATCATTTCACTCATGCTCTGAATTACTCAGTAACACAGGGAAACATGGACTCTCGGTCATTGGTCATGGGACATTAACCTGAGGTCCTGAGTACTTGTAGCATGTTCTATCTTCTAGTAAGCACTGTCAGTTGTATCTGAGGTAATGATTAGCAAAGACAGTATCAGATCTCCAGGTACAGTCTTCCATAAACGTCGGGATGGAGCATTTGGTGTGAAGTGCCAGGCATGATGCTATGGCTCTCACTTCATGCGGATGGTGGATCCAGTGCTGCTGCCTTGTAGCCTCTAAGGATGACTGCTCTCATCCAGGAGACGGTTGTTCTGGAGACTTCTGCTGAACTACTCCTGGATAACAGAATGAACAGTCTTCTCAACCTTTGTCTCCTGGAGCTTGTCCTTTGCAAATAGATACGTAATGCTTGAACTGGGCATAGTGACAAATCCTCAGCGTCCTCTGATCCCAGGATGGAATAGTCAAAGTGTCGATATCTTCCCCTTTGATACGGTAAGTATCATAGGCTGAAGAATCTCTGGATAGTGAAGTGATGGGGAGTCTATCAGCAATCCAGGCTAGTAGTTCATAATCTTCATAGATGGAAGGATGATCTTCCAATCGGGTTGACTATTCTTCCAAGGTAGGCTCGAACACATCCACTTCCTATAAAGGAACGAGGCGTTAGGAACGGAGCTGTAGGTAAACGGCATGGAAACTGTGACATCTCCTCAGAGCATGGTGTTGACAGGATATCCTTAGACATCGTCTGGAGCTGCTGCATAGCAGTACAGCTTGCTGGGTAACGCTGACTACTAAGTCTGAATTAGTAGTTGCTGCTGGTAATGCACCTTGTAATAATCTAGGTTGCTTGAGTGTTGAATACTGCATGAACGTTGAAGCTGCATGCAGGTTTGTTGCTGTGTGAATGTCAACAGCAACTTGTGTGCTTCTTCTTGAGATCAGGGGCATAGGTGGCCCAGTCGTCTAAGGCATTGCGATTCGCTGTGGAGAGCTACGACCCTTGGGCACGCCAGAAACCTATGATTGTGGGTTCAAATCCTGGTTCGCCAGCACCATACCTGTGCTTGTGGGTTTCACTGAAGTGGTAAACGTCTGATACCTGCATCACTTCGGGCTTTCATCCCACATTAAGCTGACACACCGCTATATAACTCTGATACTGTTAAAAGCGGCGTTAAACCCAACTCACTCACTCACTTCTTGAAGATTGAAGATTTTGCTCGGGATCAGAAGAACCTGCAGGTGTCTTCTTCAGCGATCTAGTTGAACCCTTGATAAGGGTGTCAATACTTCTGCTGCAAAAGGAAGAAACTGTAGAGCTGACTGGATGGATCTACGGGGAGGGAAGATCTAAGAGAATTTGGCTGATGTTAGACTTCCACTCCTCTCAAGAAAGTGTAGGCGAAGTCCAAACCTTCTTCATTGAAGTCTACTCTGATGAAGATGATGCAGAACGAAATGAATCCCTACTCTTAATCTCCCTGTACTGCAAGCAGGTACTGTGGAAAATCTCCCCCAAGGGGAGCAGAAACTACACTACCTCTTGTCTGCTGTGCAATGTTAAGGGATGCAAGACAACAGATGGTTTGAGGCTCTCGCTCTGAAACACGCAAACTACATCTAGTACATGATTTCGTAGTGAAAACAGAGGTATAGTTTAAGTCCTTACATATGAAACATTTTAAGGCAAAATTAAAAAAGAACCTTTTCATATGATGAATACAGGTTAGAAGAATGTAATCCAAACAAAACAATTTATCAAAAAGGGTTAATTTTGATAGGATGGCTCGGATTACAAAAGCTCAGGAAATTTTCACCAACCATTCGGTTGGTGCGGAAATAAGAGAGTGACGAGTACACCGGCGTGGTTAGGTTTCCAGTGTGCATGTGCAGGCCAGGGGGGTGTTCTGGTGAACTGTGTTTCTGTTCTCCAGGAACACAGTACAGGAAGTTTCCACTACCTTTCGGAAATAGAGAGAGATAAGCAATAAGTATAAGTCAGGATAAGGCAATATCAAAGATTTCTGTGTGCATTCAGAGACTGTGTGCAATCAAAGATTTCTGTACCAGCGGTTAATCGCATGATCAACAATCCATGTCATGAGGCATGATGACACACCACCTGATCCTCCTTTCTGCTAGCTGTAATGACAACCACTGGGAGCTAGAGGCCTCTTCTGCCACGCATTACAGTAAAGTCAATCAGCAAACACAATGTAATTACCTGATTTTTCATCAGAGGCTCCATCAAACTGTGGTATATGTCCGTCATCCTCCTCCTCTTCATCCTCCTCCACCATCTCACTGGGAAGGAACTGGGAGTCTGTCCATGTGTCGTCCATACCTTTCAAGTTATGCTCCTCAGACTCGCTAAAGTAGAAAATAACTCATAACGTTTGTTGTCAGCCAAATCTCCTAAACATCTTATCATCTGATAAATTGTCAAACAGTGAGTGAGTAAGTATGGTTTTACGCCGCTTTTAGCAATATTCCAGCAATATCATGGCAGGGGACACTAGAAATGGGCTTCACACATTGTACCCATGTCGGGAATTGGCGCGATGAGCGAATGCTTTAACCACTATGCTACCTGACCGCCCCAATTGTCAAACAGACATTGTGAACATCTTAAGTAAACCTCAAACAGCAAACACATCATGAACTAACGTTTCAGTTTATTATTTTTTTAATAGAAGCATTTAATAACACAAAAGTAAATAAATTTAAAAAATATTTGATTGTCTCCCTTTGTTCCTTCTTTGAGTACAGTCACAAATTTAATCCTTCAAAATGGAAGTTCTGTGTAGCACTGCCTCACCCATGCTCCTCGTTTTCCCCCTGCAAGGCCTCCTCCTGATCTGCCCCGTCCCAAACTCTCTGCGACATCTCCAACATCTCCTCCTCCTCCTCCTTCAGCACCTCCACATCTACGATGCCAGTGTTGCCTGAGATGATGCTGTCATTGTCCTCCAGGGCTGACACCTGGGAGGCGCTCAGCTGGGAGGAGACTGGGGAGGATTCGTCGGCCAGAGCTGCCAGCACATCCGCCAGAGACATGTCTGGGCCATCTGTCAACAAACAACCAAAAATGTACATGACTGAGCAGTGAAAATAGTCTAATCTTACAACAGTGTTGACCAACAATGCAGTCTAATCTTACAGAGTGTTGACCAACATTGCTGTCTATCATATAACAGTGTTGACCAACAATGCACTCATCTTACTACAGTGTTGACCAACAATGCAGTCTATCTTACAACAATGTTGAAAAAACAATGCAGTCATCTTACAGAGTGTTGACAAACAATGCAGTCTATCTTACAGAGTGTTGACCAACAATACAGTCTATCTTACAGAGTGTTGACCAACAATGTAGTCAATCTTACAGAGTGTTGACCAACAATACAGTCTATCTTACAGAGTGTTGACCAACAATGTAGTCAATCTTACAGAGTGTTGACCAACAATGCAGTCTATCTTACAGAGTGTTGACCAACAATGTAGTCAATCTTACAGAGTGTTGACCAACAATGCAGTCTATCTTACAGAGTGTTGACCAACAATACAGTCTATCTTACAGAGTGTTGACCAACAATGCAGTCTATCCTACAGAGTGTTGACCAACAATACAGTCTATCTTACAGAGTGTTGACCAACAATGCAGTCTATCTTACAGAGTGTTGACCAACAATGCAGTCAATCTTACAGAGTGTTGACCAACAATGTAGTCAATCTTACACAGTGTTGACCAACAATGTAGTCAATCTTACAGAGTGTTGACCAACAATACAATCAATCTTACACAGTGTTGACCAACAATGTAGTCAATCTTACAGAGTGTTGACCAACAATACAGTCTATCTTACAGAGTGTTGACCAACAATGTAGTCAATCTTACAGAGTTTTGACCAACAATGTAGTCAATCTTACAGAGTGTTGACCAACAATGTAGTCAATCTTACAGAGTGTTGACCAACAATGTAGTCAATCTTACAGAGTGTTGACCAACAATGTAGTCAATCTTACAGAGTGTTGACCAACAATGTAGTCAATCTTACAGAGTGTTGACCAACAATACAGTCTATCCTACAGAGTGTTGACCAACAATGTAGTCAATCTTACAGAGTGTTGACCAACAATACAGTCTATCTTACAGAGTGTTGACCAACAATGTAGTCAATCTTACAGAGTGTTGACCAACAATGTAGTCAATCTTACAGAGTGTTGACCAACAATGCAGTCTATCCTACAGAGTGTTGACCAACAATGCAGTCTATCTTACAGAGTGTTGACCAACAATGTAGTCTGCCCTACAGAGTGTTGACCAACAATGCAGTCTATCTTACAGAGTGTTGACCAACAATACAGTCTATCCTACAGAGTGTTGACCAACAATACAGTCTATCTTACAGAGTGTTGACCAACAATGCAGTCTATCCTACAGAGTGTTGACCAACAATGCAGTCTATCTTACAGAGTGTTGACCAACAATGTAGTCTGCCCTACAGAGTGTTGACCAACAATGCAGTCTATCTTACAGAGTGTTGACCAACAATGCAGTCTATCTTACAGAGTGTTGACCAACAATGTAGTCAATCTTACAGAGTGTTGACCAACAATGCAGTCTATCTTACAGAGTGTTGACCAACAATACAGTCTATCTTACAGAGTGTTGACCAACAATGCAGTCTATCTTACACAGTGTTGACCAACAATACAGTCTATCTTACAGAGTGTTGACCAACAATGCAGTCTATCCTACAGAGTGTTGACCAACAATGTAGTCAATCTTACAGAGTGTTGACCAACAATGCAGTCTATCTTACAGAGTGTTGACCAACAATGCAGTCAATCTTACAGAGTGTTGACCAACAATGTAGTCAATCTTACACAGTGTTGACCAACAATGTAGTCAATCTTACAGAGTGTTGACCAACAATACAATCAATCTTACACAGTGTTGACCAACAATGTAGTCAATCTTACAGAGTGTTGACCAACAATACAGTCTATCTTACAGAGTGTTGACCAACAATGTAGTCAATCTTACAGAGTTTTGACCAACAATGTAGTCCATCTTACAGAGTGTTGACCAACAATGTAGTCAATCTTACAGAGTGTTGACCAACAATGTAGTCAATCTTACAGAGTGTTGACCAACAATGTAGTCAATCTTACAGAGTGTTGACCAACAATACAGTCTATCTTACAGAGTGTTGACCAACAATGTAGTCAATCTTACAGAGTGTTGACCAACAATACAGTCTATCTTACAGAGTGTTGACCAACAATGTAGTCAATCTTACAGAGTGTTGACCAACAATGTAGTCAATCTTACAGAGTGTTGACCAACAATGCAGTCTATCCTACAGAGTGTTGACCAACAATGCAGTCTATCTTACAGAGTGTTGACCAACAATGTAGTCTGCCCTACAGAGTGTTGACCAACAATACAGTCTATCTTACAGAGTGTTGACCAACAATGCAGTCTATCCTACAGAGTGTTGACCAACAATACAGTCTATCCTACAGAGTGTTGACCAACAATGCAGTCTATCCTACAGAGTGTTGACCAACAATACAGTCTATCTTACAGAGTGTTGACCAACAATGCAGTCTATCTTACAGAGTGTTGACCAACAATGCAGTCTATCTTACAGAGTGTTGACCAACAATACAGTCTATCTTACAGAGTGTTGACCAACAATGCAGTCTATCTTACAGAGTGTTGACCAACAATGCAGTCTATCTTACAGAGTGTTGACCAACAATACAGTCTGCCCTACATCAGTGACAGAGTGTTGACCAACAATACAGTCTATCTTACAGAGTGTTGACCAACAATGTAGTCAATCTTACAGAGTGTTGACCAACAATACAGTCTGCCCTACATCAGTGACAGAGTGTTGACCAACAATACAGTCTATCTTACAGAGTGTTGACCAACAATGTAGTCTATCTTACAGAGTGTTGACCAGCAATGCAGTCTGCCCTACATCAGTGACAGAGTGTTGACAACTGTACCTGAGTTTTGAGAAGTCTGTGAAAAGCTCTGGCTAAAGGACAGGACTCTCTGTATGGATTCCAAGCTGATGATGGGCTCTTCCTTCCCCTCTTCCTGTTTCTCCTCTTCACCAACATCATCCAATATGACTGTGCTCTGGGAGGACTCTGACTGGTCCGAATCTGAAACGCATGAACGGTGTAGTCATACATTAATACACTTAATTTTGGTTTTGATCACTGCAGTACTTTCTGAGTTATCCTGACATAAATCATTGAACAGGATGGTTAACTGGTTTATGGGTTAATGCTTATCAATCTTGTTATATCCTTGCATGTGTTCTAAGTGCTAAAACTATTGTACAGAGTCCTCAAATTTCCTCTGGACGCATGTGCCGCCTACCTTGTGAGACATGGAAGGTGACTTGTGAGGCAGGTGTCGCAGAGAAATCGTCCTGAGAACCCTGGGACATGTCTGACTCCTCATCTGATTGGCTGTCACTGAAATAAACAAACGATGACAAAATAAGGTCTCACTTTAAGGACATTTAAGGACATTAAACTATAAAACTACAATCCCACAAACAAGCAAAAGTAAAAACTGAGGTATTTATAGACGTTTCCAAACTTACAGAAAGGGTTTCTGTTGTTCAATGATCTCCCGAAGCCTCTGTCTGAGAATACATTCACTCTCTGCTACATCAACGTCTGCTCGATCTGAGAAGAGGAAAGGTAAGTATCAGGACAGACCTGGTATTAGGTTCAAGGAATTGAACTCTTCGTGACAGAATTCATGAATCAGAGAACAATAGATAACGATACCTTCAGCCTAAGAAATTGGCACTAAAGTACTCACGGAAATGAAAAAACCCTGTTTTTTCGATCTCAGATTTTAAATAAATGCAGTTAATATACAAAATATATAAATATTCAAACAACTCAATTAGTACTAATTGGGCCTTGGCACAAATACAGCGTATCAAAGGTTTTTATGTCTTTATGACACCTTGACGACAGGTGAAAACAGGTGCTTGAAACCCACGTGATTTGTCAGTGGTTAGTGATTTGTGAGTGGCATTGTGGGATAGTGAATCATCGTCAAAATATCAGAATGTAAAAGTAACATATTCCCTTCTCAAACAACAACTTACATGTCATTATTATTATGTACATAAACATAGCTGTTATTTTTATTGTTGTTTTGATAACTTTTTCCAGGCTAATTTGCATAATGCCTATAGCCTGTTTCTGCCATGTCAATTTGGACTTAGTTTTATTTTTGAATGTTGAAAGTGCCTACAAATTACCTCCTGTAAAGTACATTTTGTATTGAGCACTGAGATAAAACTAGCAAATCCAGACTAGTACTTTTCCAGTTGTTTTGTTATTTCGTATTTACATCTACGAAATGCTTTGTGTCGATTATTAAATCCAGCAAAACAGGTTTTTTTCATTTCCATGAGTACTTTAGTCCTATAATCCTTGCAAAAATGCCCTATAGTAAAGGTATCATAAGGACTAGTAGAAATTTGCCATTTTTAAGGGTTTTGCTATATCATTAAAAGGTCTAGAGGACTAAAAATGTAAGTTTCTACCGCTGACCTTCTAACTACAGCACTAGATGTAATACTCAACTGCTCAGAGTTTAATACGGTCAGTCCATTCAGTACACAGTCCATTCAACAAATTGTATTTGTTTGTCATCCATTTCATTTCACGTGACTTGAAAATCCTCCTCACAATTAGATAAATTTATGCCATGAAATGATTAACTTTTATTGAGAAAATACAATAAAATGTCAAAAACTGATTGCATTTATCCTTTGATTACAATGGCTAACAGATCCACATGCAGACATCGAACTCTTTGGATAGCTGGCTGTCACTTTGATGTGTAAATATTCATTGTTATTCTTCACTGAGGCTGGTGTAGTAGCATATCTTTATCATAATGCAAAACAATTTGCAAATTGCACTGAAAGACTTCTATTATCACCGACTACTCTGATTTAAGTATAAGCATGTTTGTTTACTGTCAAGAAAAGTCCTGTCACATAATATGCAAATTAGCTTGTGGCAGAAAGAAGAACACACTGACCCTGTGATTCTGGCGTTGCGATCTGTGATGTCGCAACAGACTTCTATAATCACCGACTACTCTGATTTAAGTATAAGCATGTTTGTTTACAGTCAAGATAAGTCCTGTCACATAATATGCAAATTAGCTTGTGGCAGAAAGAAGAACACACTGACCCTGTGATTCTGGCGTTGCGATCTGTGATGTCGCAACAGACTTCTATAATCACCGACTACTCTGATTTAAGTATAAGCATGTTTGTTTACAGTCAAGATAAGTCCTGTCACATAATATGCAAATTAGCTTGTGGCAGAAAGTAGAACACACTGACCCTGTGATTCTGGCGTTGCGATCTGTGATGTCGCAACAGACTTCTATAATCACCGACTACTCTGATTTAAGTATAAGCATGTTTGTTTACTGTCAAGAAAAGTCTGGTCACATGATATTCAAATTAGCTTGTGGCAGAAAGTAGAACACACTGACCCTGTGATTCTGGCGTTGCGATCTGCGATGTCTCTCCCTGGTTCCTTCGTCTCTGTTTCTCATCCTCCCAGATGGCTGCCAGACCAGGGTTCGCTCCGATATTCGCTGAGATAAATACACGACTCTAAATTATCATTTTTTTAGTTAAATTCTTGAAAACATAATAAAAAGTCTCAGCAAGACAAGAGAAACCACAAAGGCATACCAGACAAAAAATTATCGTGATTAAATTTAATACAAACCACAGCAAGTAACACAATATTTGATCATATTAACAATGAATCGATTGAAAACACCTCCATGTAGGTTGCCTCATGTAATCAGCCAATTACGTTAATCAATATCCTGCGATGAAATGTTTCCAACTATACAGAACTGGCAGTGGGTTGTATGGCCTACACAACATGCTGGTGACGTACCATCAACTTCCAGTCTGTTGAGGATGTCTGCAGCAACTACATCTACCTCAAGCTGACACGTCGTCTGCCGGGACACATCGCCGTCCAACATCAGCTCACTGCAACATCGGCAACAACATTGACTCACAGAGATAGGATTTCTGCTCACTGCATTTTTTTTATTGATCTACTTGTTATTGAAGGATTTTCAGTTGTCATAAAACTATTTAAGTTTGTTCCGTTAAGGACTGACTGTGTATTTCTTTCGGTTCATTGAGGTATGAATCGAAAAACTGATGTGCAAACTGTATCAATCCGCATAGTTTGGTAAAGAAAAATAAATACCTCAGTTTTTACTTTTGCTTGTATGTGGGATTGTAGTTTAAAGCCGCAGGAAGCAAACCACATAGTATGACGATACACGTGAGCAGAGAGGGAATTATTCAGTAGTAATAAAAGTAATCCGCTTTGTCGGGCGTGGCTTGATTTTTTACATTCATTGGGAAATGAATACAATAACACGTGACCAATTCAGCTAATCAGAATGCAGGAATTTCAATGAACACAACAAAAATTGAATTATTGAATTACGAGGTTAATATTTTTACAATAATACCTGGTTGAATGTTTTGCTTGCAACTGAGACCAAACAAACACAGTTTTATTTATGTGGCCATACTCTATTCACAATTCACATTTAGAGTTGGAAGCAACTTTATTACACCCAGATAATTACATTTTCATGGCTGATAACCAATATAGAAATTCAGCTTAATTGGGTCCCAATGTAATGCAAATCTCATGGGCATCTACAAAATATGTCATACTATTCCTCAATAAAATTTCTAATTTGTACACTAAGTGCAGCACAAAGACCATTGCCCAAGAACCAATAATATTGAAATGACCGAGCTGTATGCCGAAAGGACATATTTATATTCCAGTTTATCAACCAAGTCAGCCAATCCCATTAGTCACCTCTTACAACAATTATACCCTGGGACTTCATGGGGTACCCTCATTTTGAAGTCAAATGAAATGTAACTGATTAATACTGCAGAATGGTTGAGAGAGTGAGTGAGTGAGTGAGTGAGTGAGTGGGTGGGTAGGTGAGTGAGTGAGTGAGTGAGTGAGTGAGTGAGTGAGTGAGTGAGTGAGTGAGTGAGTGAGTGAGTGAGTGAGTGAGTGAGCGAGCGTGGTTTACTGCTGCTTTAAACAGCATTTCAATCTGAGTAGCATACCTAGGTATGTGGAGTGTGTCCCACATTCTTCTACTTGGGGTGTTGATCCCAGAGTGGTCTGGGGACTCTCCTGATCCCAGGAGTGGTGTCCGAGGGGTGGAGTCGGAATCGTCCAGGGAAGAAGGCCGCTGCTCAGTCAGATTTCTCCGTGGGTCATTGTCTGAAGACACAGTACACAGTAGTTGAGGCACATGTAAACTGATCCTACCAAAACCCAGAGATGGGAGGTCGAAAGTCTTTATAAAAATGTCTACAGCTATTGTATGTATTGGTTTGGCTGTTGCAGAAAATATGTCTTATGACGAAGTCTAGCTAGTAGTAATTTGAAAGACTGTTGTGTCTACATTACAGGAGTTCTAATAGTTAGCAGCCATCATGACACTGATGACAAATATCAAGACTCAAGATGATATTTGATAATTTGTCCGTCTCACAGTCTCTGGAGCATATCATATTCCCTTCAGCCAAGCCCTTACTGTAATGCTACACTGGTCTGTTCTGGTATAATGTGTAGTAGTGTTTTTATCCAACAGCATGCTATATAATGCTATAATTCATATCAGCCATATATCTGTCTGCCTTGTCAAATGGAATGTCATGTTGCACTAAATAATGGATTTTATTTGTTGCAGATTCATCTATCCTGTGGAATTCTGCTTATGCATAAAAGGAGATGCACTTAAAATATGCAATAATGCTAGATAAGTGCATACAAGTCATTCAGGAAACAATTTGCATTTGTAAGACAAAAATTAGTCAAATAATTGTTATTTTCGTTGAAAACTTGTCAGCAAATAATTCAGTTACGTTTTTCATATGTAATATATGTTTAGTGAGATCCCACAATGGGTGCGAGCAAATGGCACTCTACCCAAAGGGAAGTCACTCCAATCTGTAGTAGTCGTAATCCTTGCTAATGAACACAGAGGCAGGTTTGCAACAGGCATCATTTATTCTTTATATCTTACTAATTGCAACCACAGAAACAATTGATTGTTAAGCATTCTACTGACAATACCATTGGCATATTTAAATTCCTATCGATATGGTACTATTGTCGTGCAAATAATTATCGATAGATATATCGTTACACTCCTACCACGATATATCCTTACACTCCTACCACACATCGAGTTTGATCACACATCGAGTTTGATCACACATCGAGTTTGATCAGTTCAAAAGTCACTGTCTCCAGCAGGCCATATACTGATCAATGTTGATCAACAGAGGTGTATGTTGAACTTACCCTCTTCACGATCTCTGCGGAACTTGACGGCAGCAGCGTTGATGAGATTCATCCCATACAGGTTGTAGTCAATAAACAGCTGGAACAAACACAAATAATTTCATGATATCTTCATATTAAGAAGATTCTTAACAATGTACACTGCACAAAAGTTCCCTGGTAACACATTCATGTCCATAAAAGGTTTGTATGTTGTTTAATGCAGCACTCAGCAATATTCCAGCTATATGACGGTGGTCTGTAAATAATTGAGTCTTATGCATCAACCAAGTCAGCAAGCCTGACCACCCGATCATGTTAGTTGCCTCTTACGACAAGCATAGTCGACTTTTACGGCAAGTATGGGTTGCTGAAGATCTATTCTACCCCGGATCTTCATGGATACCATAAAAGGTAGTACTGTCTATCCATACTATGCTCTATATCAGAACGCTCTTTAGTACATATGCCCCCAGGAAGATCCAGGTTAGAATTGGTCTTCATCTACCCATGCTTGTCATAAGAGGAGACTGACAGGATTGGGAGGTCAGGATCACTGACTTGGGTGATACATGTCATCGTATCTCAATTACAAAGGCTGATGCTCTTGATTTCAATCATTGGATTATCTGGTCCAGACTTACAGACTGCTATCATATAGCTCGAATATTGCAAAATGAGGCATCAAACAAAAATACAAAACATACAATTTTTCTTCTGAAAGGAAGAGCCAAACAATATTTGTTTACCCACAATACATTAGTTTCGAAACATGCAGCATGTCAAGTCAACAATTTATGCATTTTTATCAAACCAGAGGACATCTTGTTTTCCTTATCTTCAAAAAGAAATTATCTGGTTTAAATTATCCCAGGGTCCAACAGAATATCAAACGGTCGGTCGGGATGTAATTGGCCCAGTGATGTCCTGGGGATCGAACATGACACACAGCAACAACAGACTATACATCTCAACAGAAATGAAATATCTGGACAGTGAAAGCCTTTAATCTGGATGTACCAGTACCAGTCAAATTGTCGGGATGAACATCTATCAGGCTCAATAAACCATATGTGTCTGGAGCGATTTCCATATGCCATTGTATAGATGTTCTCAACACTAATCCTTGGGCCATGTGAGCCACGTGTTTAAAAAATCTTTCTTCAAGAGAAATAATAAAGTAAGGTTAAAAATCATGTTCAAAATCGTGAGAAGAAACATCCTTTTTTCACACACACCCCAAAAATTGTGCTTACAGTCTTTCCAACATGTCAAACATAGGGTTGATCATAAAGCTGAGATACAGATTCTATGAAGTGTTGGAGGTGAGGTGTGTTGCTGTGTACTTTTGTAAAGTGTCATTTCTGTTACCTCTTCTGCATACACAGCTGATTCAAGCCCAAAACTAAAATTCAAATTTGAATCCTGGGACAAATACCAAACATTACCTACTTTCCAAACCCTCAGAAATGGCCAGAAAATATTAACACAGTCATGACATGTTCTTTAACCTACTGACAAAAACATGTGAACCAAATCTCACATATGTTCCCAGTATCCTATTAAAAGTCATGTATAACATAAAAAAAATTCCAGAATCATAAAAATCTCTACTAAAAACAGAGTTCAAAGTAAGAATCAGACAGTACCATGAGCATGTATGAATCGCAATCAAATAGGGATGATACCAGTGTACCATGATACAAGTGAGTGTATCCTGCCCCAACCAGGGGCTCCGTCACAAAGCAGTAACTGACCAATAAGTGTTAATGAACATGGTGAAGGAATAGGTGAACATAGCTTGGAGCTGCACTCTATCTCTAAGCTGGCATCACGAGAGGCTGCGCTAGTGCACATTAATAATGGAGAGAAAAGTGAGAAGTATAGATTTAATCAATTAGAGCAAACCAGTAATGGTCAGAAATACAAACTGGCTCACAAGTATTGAGTTGGTATACCATCAATGCTATGATATTTATAACTTGAAAGTTTTCCCTTGTCAGTTATAAAGCTGCTACGTAATAATGCAGACCTGGGGCCTGTTCCACCAAGGAATCTTAGTCCTATGACTGTTGTAAATCTATGCTAAAGTATGGCAGTTATGATCATCTTAGCGCTACCATGTACTTAAGTCTATGCTAAAGTATGGCAGTTATGATCATCTTAGCGCTACGAGTGTTGTAAGTCTATGCTAAAGTATGGCAGTTATGATCGTCTTAGCGCTACGAGTGTCGTAAGTCTATGCTGAGGTAAGGGAGTTATGATCATCTTAGCGCCAAGATCGCTTTGTGGAACATGACCCTGGTCACAATCATACACTGCTGATCTACTAAAAATTAGTCAAAGGCCAGCATCCAAGAACCTGGGCCCTGTTCCACAAAGCAATCTTAGCACTACGACTGACTAAGTTCTTAACTATGGCAGTTACGATCATCTTAGCCCTGGGCTGTGTTCCACAAAGAGATATTAGCTCTACAAATATAAGGCTAATTCAAGGATATGGAGTTATAATATTTGGAGTGCTCAAGAAATGTTTCAAAAACAGGGCATGAAGGTGTGGGGTGAAGGTGTGGGGTGTGGTGGGATTGTGTGATGTCACGTGAGGGTTGGTTTGGAGGGGTGGGGGTGGGTTGGGGAGGGGTGATATTAATGGCCATTGAGTATATGTGTCTTCAGTCATGGGACCATTGTTGGTTGGTTGTTTAGCGCCGCACTGAGCAATATTCCAGCTATATGACGGCGGTCTGTAAATAATCGAGTCTGGACCTGACAATCCAGTGATTAATAGCATGAGCATCGATCCACACAATTGGGATCGATGACATGCATCAACCAAATCAGTGAGCCTGACCTACCGATCCCGTTAGTCACCTCTTAACAACAACAACGGATTGCTGGGGATCTATATTCTCGCCAAGAAGAATGTAGATTGATGTCAATCAATGGATTATTTACAGACCACCATCACGTAGCTGGGATATTACTGAGTGTGGTGTTCAACAACAAACACACACATACTTGTTTGCGCCCTGTTACAAACTATTTCTGTCTATTGAGTTTGCTGATATTTACGTTTCTGAAATATAATTGAGTCATCTGAATCATAGAATAACATAATAACAATATTTATAAATATACGCTCATATCTGCTATATGTCACCAACAGCAAATATGTTAATATATGTCTTGATTCTCGATCATTCAGTATCAATCACAATGGCCAGTCACAGATGATCATATTGAATACGGCTCCCAGATGGCGACACATCGCAATGTTCATGACACATCTGTACTTAATTGCCATGTAAACAATAGCAGATCAATATTGCCAGATCTGTACCATGCGTCTGCTGCCAGTCTAACTCCCATGGCTTGCTAAGTGCAGGCCAACTAATGCAACACAGTAACAGCTCATGTCTCAGATAGTTACTGGCTCTAGATGTCCTACCACCTCCGTAGTCTAGTGGTAGAGCGTCTGCCCAGAGTGCGGAAGGTCCATGGTTCAATCCAAGGCCGCGTCATACCAAAATATGTTCAAAGATGGTACTTCTTGTTACACTGCCTGGCAGTCAGCATTAAGTTTGTTTGTTAGTTTGTTTGTTGTTTAACACTGCACTCAGCAATATTCCAGCTATATGATGGCGGTCTGTAAAATAATCGAGTCTGGACAAGACAGTCCAGTGATTGACATCATGAGCATCAATCCACACAATTGGGATCGATGAAATGTATCAACCAAGTCAGTGAGCCTGACCACCCGATCCTGTAAGGCACCTTTTACAGGAACTATGGGTTGCTGAAGACCTATTTTACCCCGGAATCTTCACGGGCTCTCGGCATAAAGGGGCTAAAACAAGGACTGGTCGGCTTGGAGTCAGCATACTGTGTCTCAGTGGGATGTTCATGTTAAACTGCTGCATGGTATCTCATTGGGCTAGCACCATAAAATCGGCATCAGTCCAGATGAGTACACAGACAGACAGACAGACAGACAGACAAGACAGACAGACAAGATATTGCTATATATACGTGCAATAATCTTGGACGCGGCGTACTACACACTACAAACAGCACAGAATGATTAACACTCCAAACCAAACTAGACTGCAACACTCAATTAACTGTAGCAAAACTTCTAAATCCGCTCACCGATACATAAACCTTCAAAGCATCAGGCATATTCCATATTTAAACTCAACTACTAGGCCGCATATAATCACCTTCAAAACTTAAACCACCACTAATCAGGCTAATAAAATGCAAGTCCAAAAAACACACATCCACATCCACATCCTTCCTTCGTCCCCCCACCTTAAGCCCCCAAGTTTCCAAATTCCAACTTTCTCAAAATTGGAAATAAACAACCCTAATGCCACCCAGGTTGCCTCACCTTTCGGACACACCCTCCTAGGCAATCTCACCACATATGGCCTGACGGGCCCGTGTGTGAAATACGCATCATGTCGGAACGTGCACGTTAAATCTCCTATAGTAAGTAAGTAGGGATGCGGCGTCAAACCCCATTTCACCTCACCTCTATATGTCCCATCACATTCAGGAAGGTTGCTAACAGTTGCAAGCAGCCACTGTGACCCTCATAGTGTTAAATGGAGAGAACACTGCCTGACACACAAGCAAGCAAAAACTTTATCACGGAAACCATTACATGTCATCCTGCTGGCTAAGGCAAAAGATTCCACAACCATTACATATACCATATTCAACGTAATGAGTGATCCGCTCTAATAAGTGCCCACGGCGATATTTGTTAATATATTGGCTAGTGAACAATCCCAATTCGCACCCCTTCCGCTTGAACAACATGAACAAGGTACACAAGACTTATTTATTTGCATATAATACGCACTCGTGTGTTACATGCAACCTTAATTATGGGCAATTAAATTCTTGAAAAATATATCTGTCGTATTTAAACATTTCAGGCTGTCAGCATAAATCATGAACTCTGTTTTTTTTCTCACTAAAATAATATTCTAATAAGAGCTCCCTATTTCTAATTTTTAGAGCTCCCTGGGCGTTTATTACTCTACATAAATAAATGCTACAATGACCAGTGACCAAATTCCTGTCAAATTAAATATTATAAGAGTGTTGTCTTTAAAGAAATCTATGCATATCATATGTTCTTATGGATGTTTTAGGTACAGGGTATGTAAATGCACATGGTTGCATATTCATAAATATTCGATTCTAGTGGCCATGAATAACGAATTCAATTCATGAATGGATACGGTTCGATTCACCAAATACACGAGTGAATCATAACGGCCCTAGTGCATACAAACTCAACACACGTCGGAATCAAACGTTGAGATGTGTTTGTGTGCATTGTTTCCAACCCTTATTTGGGAGACAAGGCTGGGAACCAATGATAGCATATCATGTTACTGTGTCACAACCTTAGTGTTCCCTTATTAATTTCCATCAGTATATATTCATCTTTCTCGGGCAAATCATTGCGGTTTTCATCCACATCTTAAACGATTACTTCTTACTACAGAAGATCCCAGTTTCTCATCTGGGAGGGTTCTACTTCTAGTGTCTGACAAAGCCTGTTTAGTACAGCACTGTAGTGTTTCAGTACTTGCCCACCCTATTCTAGCTGTGTTGGTTGAGTAAAGGTGTCCGATTTGGGTTGAAGCCAACCCCCAAATTTGCAAAAACAGCTGCCAAGCCAACCAGTAAGAATTGTTATTTTATAAACAAAGTGTCTCATTAGTTGTTTGCTCAGTAGTGAGTGAGTGAGTATGGTTTTACGCCGCTTTTAGCAATATTCCAGCAATATTACGGCGGGGGACTCCAGACATGGGCTTCACACATTGTAACCATGTCGGGAATCGAACCCGGGTCTTCGGGGTGACGAGCGAACGCTTTAACCACTAGGCTACCCGACCGCCCCTGTTTGCTCGGTAAGGATAAGATATATAGATGAACAGCTTCTTTATTACAATATGGAAGGATGTTTGGTGTAGGTTCTAACACACTTATCAAGCATGTGATGTACAGAGTATGGTTGACAAGCATATGTCAGGTATGAAGCAGTGTTTATCAAGTGTCCTCATTGCTGTCTATAAAAAAAAATCAGTGCGAATGCAGTGCAATATTTCCGTAACCCAGTTAAATACTTCACCATGATCAATATTCTTCAGCCTCAGTGATCAAAAAGTAAAATAAGATGTCACAGCTGTTTGCTAATCGTTTGTGTGGTTTTAGAAGCACACTGTCAATATGGGGTAGTGTTAATCTGTGTGTGATTGCGGACAGTACTGGCAGCATTGAAAACAACATGTCTCTCACAATGTTCAACGACATGGTCCCAAACAGGAAGATTTACCTAACACTCAGAACAGTATTTTGATGCAGATAATTTATAAGGACAGGCTGCAATAAATGCATACTCATATTGGAGGCAGGTGTTTGCAGGTAAAGAACATATTTCAGTGGACCTTCAATTCGGTCAATTCAATTTTGGTAATACAATACTGGCAGATATCCCTGGAATGAGTTAAATGGCAATCAGGGTTAGAAATTCCTGCATTTTACTGATGATGGCTAACATGGCTGAATTGTACAAGTTCCCAGTGCCTAAAGGGCACACTGAGACCACAGCTTTAGAAAGTGGCACTAGTCCTGTTGTCCTTGCCAAACTGCCCAATAGTAAAGGTATCATAGGGACTAGTAGAAATTTGCCATTTTTAGGGGTTTTGCTATATGATATCATCATAAGAACAAGTGGACTGAAACTGTTAGTTTCTACCGCTGCTGAGAAATCATATTTTTTCCATAACTATAGCTTGTAACAGCGTTTATTATATGAAGCTGGTGATAATGTTTTTGCACAAAAAAATATATACACATGACCGCACTTAGTGTGCAGAATCATTCATAAAATATATTTGGGGATTCTGAAATAAATTATTGAAAGTCTACAGACACTACTACTGAACATCATCACAGTGTTGTCAGCAGGACATGTACACAGGAGCTGTTTACGCCACAAATACAGAGGAACATGAAGCGGTCTTTTCCCCATTTTTCAGTCACACCTGAATGGAGGCAATCAAGAGACATTGTTTCACAGTGGTGGAGCGAGCAAGGTTAATGAACCACCAAACATTCAGTACCATCATCTGAGACAAGTGTCCTACGTTCAACACCATTCCTTTCAGAAGCCAGACGACCGCCTCCGTGGTCTAATGGTAGAGCGTCCGCCCGGCACTCGGCATTAAGGGGCTAAAACAAGGACTGGTCAGCTCGGAGTCAGTATACTGTGTCTGAGCGGGGTATTCATGTTAAACTGCGGCATGGTATCTCAGTGAGCTAGCACTATAAATCGGCATCAGTCCGGCCTAGTACAAGCAGCCACACACACACACACATACATGTGCATGCACGTCACCATATAAGTGCAATAATCTTGGACGCGACGTTAAACTCCATTTCACCTCACCTCACCTCAGAGTGAGTGAGTGAGTGAGTTTGGTTTTACGCCGCTTTTAGCAATATTCCAGCAATATCACGGCGGGGGACACCAGAAATGGGCTTCACACATTGTACCCATGTCGGGAATCGAACCCGGGTCTTCGGCGTGACGAGCGAACGCTTTAACCACTAGGCTACCCGACCGCCCCTCCTCACCTCAGAAGCCAGACCACCTACCTGCCAGGGCTATCCCCTCTATGAAGAAAGCAGCAGTCTTACTTACTTACTTATATTAGGAGATTTTACGTGCGCTTTCCGACTGGAGCGTATTTCGCACACGGGCCCGGCCGGGCCATTTAGTGGTATAAAAGTGGTAGCGAGAGGAGTGCAACCAAGGAGGGGGGTTTAGTGGTTGCTTATATAAAGTTTTGAAATTTTGAGATTTGGAATACATGCCTTGGGGGAGTGGTTGGGACTAAGGGAGTGTGTGGGGGTGAGTTGATGTTTTTTGGATGTTTAGTGTTGGTGGTTTAGTGAAGTTTTAAATACGGTTAATTAGTTCTGTTTTGGTTAGCAGCAGTCACACTCAAACATCTACTTCACCACATTTGAAACAGTGTCATCGGGATCCAATTAATGACAACCATTGTCTGGTACAACACTTAATTCTGAAGGGTGATGAGACAGCCATGTTATGCCTAGAATCTAAGTTTATTCACTTAGCTGCCATTAATCCCCTATTGTACTCTGATTAGCATGCTTTGTTAGTTCCTATCTGTTTAGTTTTATATCTGCCTGTCAGCCATAATGAAAAGGCTAGCTGGCAGTCATGTCATTTTAATTTCCTTATATTTATGACTTAATCCGTGTGGCCCTGACTTTTGAAGCCTGTAGGTCCAGGCTGGAACAAAAGCTAATAAAAACTCAGGGATGAGAATGGATATTTTCCTTTTCAGCTGAAACTTCTTTTCAAAGGAGCATGGTCCATAATTTGGGAGTGTTGATGGGGGGTTCCTTAGAATTTAACAAATTTGTGGTCACAAAATTTCAGGATCTGCGGAAGATTCTCATCCCAGAATACTACCACTAATTAAATATCCTCTACATCAAAACTAAATAATTTCTTCTTCTAAACCATAGTACAGTATAGAAGAGGAGTCTGCTGTAAGATATGCTGCAAACTCTGCTGAATCTTCAACACTGATGAAAAGTGAATGAGTGAGTTGTATCACAATTATTTTAGATGTCCCTTACAAACATAAGGAGATTGGGATCTATTCTGTCTGGAAGGAAGGTAAAATGCCCTATTAAACTATATCCTGTGACAATATCGGCCACTAAAGTTATTCTACTGCATGAATACATTCAGCCACAGAGCCAACCAAGGTGTAACCAGAGCCCAACTAGGTGGGGTCAGGCTGCACTTCCTGACACACTATCTACACATGATCTAGCTCCAAGACAGGCTGCTGAAACCCTCTGCAGTTGTACCTAGTTCTCGGGGGATTACATTCAACTTTTATTGGTAACACTTTAGTTTTCAGAAAAATCTCCAGAAAGGTTACAATGTCTGACTTGCGCTATTGTGAATACCGGCACTGACATACAGCGGTGGGGAGGGACGCTTGATCAAAGCAACTGTATTACACCCCTTACTAACCAAAAAATATAGATAAGTGTAAGGTTACATGAAAACTTTTAATCTTAAAAGAACCTTCAAGTCTCTTAATTTCAGGAGCTGAAAAGGGGATGAATATAGGCTGTTAGAACTGATAAGGGAGTGAGTATAGGCTGATAGAGCTGAGAAGGGGATGAATACAGGCTGTTAGAACTGATAAGGGAGTGAGTATAGGCTGATAGAGCTGAGAAGGGAGTGAGTATAGGCTGATAGAGCTGAAAAGGGGATGAATATAGGCTGATAGAGTTGAGAAGGGGATGAGTATAGGCCGATCGAGCTGAGAGGAAGTGAGTATAGGCTGATAATAGTGATAGAGCTGAGAAGGGGATGAGTATAGGCTGATAGAGCTGAAAAGGGATTAGTATAAACTGGTAGAGCTGAAAAAGGGATGAGTATAGGCTGATAGAGCTGAGAAGGCCGAAAGAGCTGAGAAGGGGATGAGTAAAAGCTGATAGGTCTGAGAACTACACTACTCAAAAAAGAGAGTTAAAGACGACCAGTTGTTTTCATATGAAAACAGTTGATCAGTCATGGATGGGAGGTATTGCAACACACAGCCTTCAAATTGTGGGTGTTCTTCATCTTGTTTTGAGTAGCATATTTGCTCTGGGATCTGTATGAGAGACTAACACACACACTCACCTGTAAGTTGTACGGTATGTGAGCCTCGTGGGGCTGGAAGGGCTTGTTCATCACTGCGCCACCCAGTAAAAGGTCAGCTGCCCTGTAAGGAATGACACAAGTAAGTCATTGGATACATCCTGACCAAGGCGAAAGCTAACTAATTATGTCATTTCAATCCAAAATACTAATCATCATGTATAGGGGAATATTTATCACAACAGTTAGTACTTCATGTACTAGTTAATTACTGAATTTTATTTTATTTTTTTAATCATGTGTTTCAATTAACAGATAAGATGGCCATGACATTATTTATTTGTTCTGTCTGTCTGTCTGTCTGTCTGTCTGTCTGTCTGTCTGTCTGTAACTGAAGACCAGTCCTTTACCAATCCACAACACTCTAAATTGTGCAAAGACTCTCCAGGTCTATGCCTGAGTATTTTAATCAATGAATACAACCATGAAGATCCAGGTTAGAAAAGGTCTTCAGCAACCCATGCTTGCTGTGAAATGTGACTATGCTTGTCGTAAGAGGCTTGCTGACTTGATTGATGCATGTCATCATATCCCAATTACCTAGATAGATGCTCATGATGTCAATCACTGGATTGTCCAGTTCAGACATGATTATTTACAATCCAGCATCATATAACTGGAATATTGCTGAGTCCAGGGATAAACAACAAACAACCAAACATGATGACACATGATGAGATTATTATGCCACAGGTCTTGATAGGTTAACACTGGTGAAACAAGCCCAGGTACATTACTGACACATCATAGTGAGTTGGGTTAAACGCCACTTTTAATATTATTCCAGTTATATCACAGCATGTCAGCTTAATGTGTGAGGAAAGCCCTACACTTTCTTGAGAGGAGAGGGAGTCTAACATCAGAGAAATTCTCTTAGATCTTCCCTCCCCGCAGATCCATCCAGTCAGCGCTACAGTTTCTTCCTTTTGCAGCAGAAGTATTGACACCCTTATCAAGGGTTCAACTAGATCGCTAAAGACTATACTCCTGCAGGTTCTTCTAATCCTAAGCAAAATCTTCAATCTTCAAGAAGTGAGTGAGTGAGTGAGTGAGTGAGTGAGTGAGTGAGTGAGTGAGTGAGTTGGGTTTAACGCCGTTTTTAACAGTATTCCCGTTATGTCACGGCGTGTCAGCTTAATGTGGGAGGAAAGCCCGAAGTGATGCAGACCTTAGACGTTTACCACTTCGGTGAAACCCACAAGCATGGGTATGGTGCTGACAAACCTAGAAACATAATCAGGACGAACTGGGATTTGAACTCACAATCATAGGTTTTTTTCGTGCCCAGGGGACGCAACTCTGCACAACAAATTGCGGCGCCTTAGACGACTGGGCCACCTGTGCCCCCTGCCATATCATAAACATTAACACCACCAGCAACAGACTTTCAGCAATACTGTAGCATGGGAGGACGTCAATGAGGGACAAGTCTTACACGGTTACCACTTTCAAATTCAGGCAGGCATCACATCCATTGTCATGTACTGTATTCGACGTAATACGCGCCCAGGGCGCTCACAAAATTAGAAATAGGGGGCTCTTATTAGAATATTATTTTTGTGAAAAAAACAGAGTTGAAAGATAAATTTCATGGTTTATGCTGATAGCCGGAAATGTTTATGTACGACAGATATATTTTTCCAGAATTTAATTGCCAATAATAAAGGGTGCATATATCACACGAGTGCGTATTATACGCGAATAGGGGAAGGAAGCGGTGCGTATTAAATGCGAATAGGGGTAGGAAGGGGTGCTAATTGGGTTTGTTCACTAGCCAATATATTAGCAAATCTCGACGTGGGCGCTTATTAGAGTGGGGCGCTTATTACATCGAATACAGTATTTTCAGTTGACATATAATGATGTATTTTCTATGTAAAATACATTAATGGAGTTGCCCAGTCACCTGCTTATGTTTGTTGAGGAACACGTCATCAATGAGGTTTTTAAGACATACCGGTATATTTAGTGAGTGATTGATTGAAATGTGTTTTACGCCACTTTTAACCATGTTAACAGTATTCAAGTTTTATCATGGCATGTCAGCTCAATCTGGTAGGAAAGCCCAATGTTGATGTTGACCACTTTGGAGACACCTACAAGCACGGGAATGGTGCTGACAAACCTAGAAACAGAATCAGGTGAACAGGGACTCGAACCTACAATCATAGGTCACAGTCATACCCAAGGGAGGCAACTCTACACAGCGATTGGAGCGCCTTAGACAATTGGGTCACCCGTGCCCCGACCCAAATATAAGTAGCTTATGAATTGTTAAAGCAATACATTGATACATGTTGTTGCCTTATTAACATGGAGTTTATCTTGTGCTGGGAGTTGAAAGGGATCGGATTTCCTTATACTGTAAATTTTTAAATTAATGCATCTCCAAATTAATACTGCTGACTGCTGACCTCTAGTCAAAAATGCGACTCAATATCAATGTGACTCCCCCCACCCCATCCCCAGTGGAATGATACATATCCTTACCATAATCCAACGTTATCCTAATTCAATCTCACAGCAAATAGCACCGCTTACTTGCGCTGAGTAGAGCACTTCCGTAAAAACAATAAACAGTGTTTTCCTAAAACAACACACAGTTAATATGCTTATTCTGTTGACAGTTCAGTTCAAAAGGCAATAAAATAATTGAACCAAGAACTGTTAACTGATTGGTAAGTGGAGAACGTGTCAACAAACCTAAGGCAAATGACAAGACAAAGGTTGTAGATCTGAGTAGTGGGATGAAGCCTATCGGTGAGCGTTGGGTCGTGTCAGCCTTTGATGAGTATTGCATGAGTGGCTTCTCTCTGGACTGTTGTGTTTAATCTTATTGTTGAAAGTCATTTTGGACACATAAATGTTTAATTATTGCGAACAAAGATCACTCACATTTTTCGCATTCAATTCACGCTCAAGTTAATTTCAAGATATACAGTATTTTAAATATGGATGAACAAAGTACATACTCTGCCACACAATCAGCTAATATTGGTGTATGTATGCATGAGTTGGGGTTAATGCCACTTTTCAAACTATTTCAGTCCTAACGACATGATCAATGCAGTGATTTGTAACATGGTAAGTGTGAGGCTAAGATCACACAATATCCATGAAAATGACAGCAATCCGAATAGCTGGTTGCCCCAAATTTAACAACAATGACAATAATCATCATCATAATAGCGCAAAATCTACATCAGGGTCTTGCTCAATGCGCAAATTCAGCATATGTTTGTTTGTTTTGTTTGTTTGTTTGTTGTTGAACGCCACACTCAGCAATATTGCAGCTATTTGACAGCGGTCTGTAAAAAATCAAGTCTGGACCAGACAATCCAGTGATCCAGTGAACATCATGAGCATCAATCTACGCAACTGGGATCAATGACATGCATCAACCAAGTCAGCGAGCCTGACCACTCGCCTCTTACAACAAGCATAGACGCCTTTTATGGCAAGCATGGGTTGCTGAAGACCTATTCTACCACAGATCTTCATGGGTGTCAGCATATGTACATATGTAAAATAGAGAGGGGACAGTAAGATAGTAAAAATATACACATTCAGTTGTAGTGTTCAAAAAGGTATGTTTAGAGTCCAGACTCAACACATTGATACTTGGTGCACTTTTGAGGCTGAATTAAGGGAAGGGAGTTCCATAGAGAGGCAACAGTATGAGAGAAAGATCAAGCAAGGAAGGACTTTAGTCTGTATTTTGGTACAGACAGGAGAAGAAGTTGGTCATTTGAACAAGAGGAATCAGTTGCTACAGTCACCATGGTCACAACAAATCTTTTTAGAATATCCCAGCAGAATGATGTTGGGTCCTCTGAGAATGGGTTTCACACATTGTACCCATGAGGATCAAACCAAGGTAGTCGACATGGCAAACACATGCAATACCCACAAGGCTAGCGCACCCACCATCTGGTAATCCATGGTTAATACAAAACTTGAGCCATCAAACTTAAGGCCTTTTCAAAGGCCATGATCCCGTTTTTCACAGCAACAGCAAGACCCAAGGGTGTTTTAAAACAGAATAATAAGGACCTGCTTACTCTATTTGATTGTAAATGTAATGGCTCCATGTGCACATCCAAATATCTTATTAAAATATTTATATTATCCCATTTAAATATATGAATTCTTAACACCTTGGGTTCACTATTATCTATCGATCGAGTTGCAGTCTGATCTTTTGCTGCATGATGTCATCACATTATCTGGGCAAAACTCTCACACTGGTTGCTGAAATAAAAGCCTCAAGGCATGTGATTGAATTTAGAATTAAGACAGATTTAAATTTAAGCCGCTTGTTACAACGAACTGTCAAATGTATTCCCTTTCAGCCAGCCCAGCACTTTCAAGGCCTCGCAAGACTAGACTGCCAAATCCAAGGATTCTTCAAAGCCAGACTGCCAAAACCAAGGCCTTACAAGGCCAGACCGCAAAATCCAAGGACTTACAAGGCCTGTGAGAACACTGATATGAATTTTCTAAATGGCAGAAAGATGCATAGTGTGTTTGCTCAGTGACATGAACACACAGCCTTAGAAACTAACTCAAGTCCTCTTGTCCCAGTCTCCCACATATCGCTGAAGGCTAGTCCTTGTTGACTGGTAATACATGTTCAGTATTTTGAAGCAACAGCTTCCTTCTCTGATTTGACAGTGATTTAATAAAATATCATCCCCTGACATCTGCTTTCTTTTCGGCAGCAGCGGATGATGTGTCACCTGCTACACATAAAGGTCCAAGGTTTATTGATTCAACACATCACATTTACTGACATACTCATTGTCATTGATTCTTGTCTCTTTTTCTCTCAATCTGGGAAGGCTAGTGAAAACCTTGTGAGGACAGTGGTGCAATAATCTCCTGACTAGAGAAGCTACAATAGACTCCAAAACAACCGCAAGCCCTCATTGGAACTATAACATCGACTTCAATACAATAATATAAACCTAAGCATTAAATCCTCTTCTTTATTAGGCCTGTTATCAGTGAAACAGAAGTCATATGTGCAAAGCAATTACACTAGTATGAATTGGGATGGGAGTT